CCCCTGGCCAGGAAAGAGGGGTCGGCCTGACCGGCTCCCGTCCCGCCAGCCTGGAGCCCTCACCATATCCTTGGAAGGTTCTCTGCAGGGTAGGGTTGGTTTTCCTCCCGGAAAACTCTTCCGCCTTGTCAATCAGGGCCTCCTTCACCGCTTCATAGCCGGACAGCACCACAATCGGGCGGTTCCCAAAGTAGACCGTGAAGACGGGGCCGTATTTTTCCTGCAACTGCACAGGGAGAGGAAACACAGCTAGTCCCTGACCTGCAACCACAATTGAGCCCAAAATTTGTGTTCTTAAGCGAGACAGTCGTTCAGTGAGTTTTGCCTCATTTTACGACCTTTCTTGCCTCTTTTGTCACGCAAATCACTGCAGTTGATAAGCGAGTAATGTGGTTGTTACATGAATTTGGCTTCCCCCCCTTGACTTTGCTTGTCAGAAGGTCACAAAAGGGGATCACATGACCCCCTCAGGATGCTGTGACCGTCGTAACTGTGAGCCAGTTGCCCAGTGTCTGAATTTTGATACCTGACCCTGGGATGCTGCAACGGTCGTAAGTGGGAAAAACAGTCCTAAGTCACATTTTTCAGTGCCGTTGTAACTTTGGATGGTCACTAAATGAACTGTTGCAAGTCAGGGCTGCCTGTGCTCCGATCCAGACCTCCAGCGCCAGGTGGCCCCGTGAAATGAGCCTCTCGGAAAGGCCATCATTCTGCTTCGGGTGAAGCTGGGCCAGCTGCCTCCGAGGACAAGGGAGCAGCAGCCACAGCCAAAACCCTTCCCTGGGGGGGGGGAAGCAGCTCCCAGGAGGCTTCGACCCTCTGCCCCATCTCACAGGATCCCTCTCTCCACAGAGAGATCACCTGCCTGCCTCAGTGGGTGGCTGCATCACCCAGCTTTGGCTGATCGACGGATTCTTTTGACTTAAGAGCCCCCCTCTCACATTCAGGAAGTGGGTAACCGTGAAAAGCTAAGCCAGGGCAGCCTGAGGATAACCTCGGATGGGGAACAGAGTGGGCTCCCGGGGCTGAAGGGCGGAGGGAGGAGAAGGCAGCCCTCCCGTGCCTTTGTGAGGAGGCCCAGGGGTGCCCATGCCAGAGGGTGGAAACCTGGGAGGGTTGGGATCCATCCAAGCTCCCTTGAACTTTGCTTCCAAGCTCTTCCTCCCTCAGCAAATTGCATACACCCACAGGACTCTTGTCCCTGGATTACTAGAAGCTCTTGGAATGCAATCAGAGGTTCTCTGCTGTGGGATCTGGCCTCCACTGCCATTTGAAGCACAGTCTTTTGCCTGGGCTGAGCCGAGAGTCATTCAGCTCGCAGGACTGTTTCCTACAGAGAGAGTCAGAGTCCTCGGTGGCTCAATCGCCTTGCGATTTACACAGAACTTTTGCAGTGCAGCCGCTGAAGTTGCTGTGAGGTGCAATCTTAAGGCCAGAAGAATTGCCTCATGAATCACCAGTTGCCTTGAGAATCCAGTTCTTGGAACATAAATATTGTTTATTAAATAAATATCCCTTTATTCATTGTGTAGCATACTACACTGGCAAAACCCTGTCCGCTTAGTCCACAGGCAAATTGCACAATGCCCCAAAGTCTCGCCAAGGCAGAAGAGACCCCAGCCCCCTCCTAAAATATTGGAAACAAAGCTTCCAAAATTCTAGGAAACAGCCCTGGGGGATCTTTTGAGAACAATGGCGGAGCATGTATCCTTCAGGTGTGTTGGAGATATTTGTATTTCCTGTTGTTTCATCATTAATATCCCAGACACTAGATGGATTTAAAATGGGTGGTAGAGGTGGTGGCTACTCTGGGTTATAGAATTGCTCCCCAAAAGCAATCTTCACGCCAAGGCTGTGTATTATCCCTTTGGGGGGGGGAGTGCTGGACGGGCTTCCCTCTGCCAGCAGAACCATCTTGACAACGTTTCCCCAAGGTAAGCAAACCCTTTTCCCAGCCCCATCAGGCTTCTCAAGAACCGCCTTAGCCTAGAAAAGTGTTCTCTAATCTCGGATTGTGTGGCTCCTCAGGAGACACTCAATCTGCTTGATCAGAAGATGATTCGGGTAAATCTGAGACATGGCGGCCAAGGGGGAAAACCTTTTTCCAGGCTTCATGTAGGTGTGAATGAATAAATGGAAGCCAAAAGAGAAAGAAAAAAGGAAGACCGAGGCAGACTGGATCTCGAAAGAAGATTCAGCCCACTCTCCTGAGGAATCCTGCCAAAGCCACAGGAAGGAGGTGTGGTGGAAGGAGAAGGTTGGGAACATTTGAGGTCATTCACCAGTTGGGGGATCTGGAGGAGACCCGGGCACTGGCTGGAGAGACCCAGCAGAGATCCCGGCATGGTGGAAGTGGACAAGGGCAGAACATCTCTGGGGCTTCTCCTGGGCAAGAGGTGGACTTACCTTGAGGAGGGACGCCAAGGTTTCGAACGCCTTGATTTGCATGAAGTTCCCAATCAGAGGCAGAGGAGTGGGCCCAGGAGGCAGCCGTCCCCTGGCAGAGGACTTCCTCCGGACAAACAGCAAGGCGAGGTAGGAGAGATAGGCGACCAAGAAGAGGGAGACTGCGCTTGCCAGCTCCATGGTGTCAGCCTCTGCCCAGGTTCAGTGGGGTTGTGGGCATTTAACTGGGGCTGGGTTTGGCACCGCTTCTGGGTTATGTAAGAGCACTAGGTAAATATATCAAATGCTTAATCGCAAACACTGGTGGTTTTTTTTTTTTTTTTTTTGTAACATAATCGTATGATCTAGGCTCATCAGTCATACCTCTGCAGTGTTTAGGCCATGCCTTATCTCGCTTTTGTTTTTCCCCTGGTGCCCATGGGAATGGCCTCATTCCTGCCCAGGGCCGGTCCTGGCATTAGAGGCCTCCCTCTGCCTCTCCACTCCAGGTGCTCAGAGGGCCACCAAGACTGCCAGAAGACTCGGGAGCCATCGCCTCCCAGCCCAGCTCAAGCAAGGGCACCCCGGGAGCCTGGAGGGAGGCAGTGGCAGGCCTGGGGATGGGGACCGGCAGCTCCTTTGGGCAGTGCCAGTCCCACCAATGCAAGATTCCAGCCTTTCAGGCTCTGCCAGGGATCGCTTGATATTGCTTGATTGATTTAAAAGATTTATAAGGCCACCCATCTTAAACGTATCTCTGGGGAAGTCAAGTTGTGCCCAGCCTGGTGGGAAAATCTGCATCTGGCCGAATTTAGCTGGCACAGCTGCTTCCAGGCCTTGACTTGGGGATCAGGAGCCCAGAGTCCTCTTGACGACCAAATGGGTCTGGCATCTGGTGGGGCCTCCGACTGGCATTTGGGCTTTGCCATTGGGCACTCTGCAAGCCAGGAAGCTCATCTGCAGCCAAGAGCTGAAACTCTCCTGTGCACAAGAGGAGGGCAAAGAAGCTCTCTCAGGGCACCATCAGTGGGGCCAGAAGTGGGGCGAGGCTGAAGCAGGACTTGTCCTTTAGCCTCTCCTAGGACGGAAGTCAATGGGGAAACAGCCGCCCTCTTCCCCACTACAAGCCAGGCAGGACAAGGCCAGACCTGGCAGACGGTAGACGTAGGAAATGCTATGTGTCAGCATCTTCCTCATGACTATATTTGAATCTTTAAATATTCTCAGAAAAGACTTTAGCTAACAGGGAATGCCAGTTTTTACACCACATCTTGCAGAAGTGGGGGGGGGCAATCATCTGGGGACTCTTGCAGCACACAAAGTTGTGCCCTCGGTGACCCAAAGTCTTCCCTATTTTTTTAGTGCCAGGTGTGAGACAATATTCATCTTGCCAGCTGTGTATATTGCTCCTAAGTGTAAACATGCAATCAATTTTTGACCATTCCTAGTGCATTTTAAGCCTGTTCTCCCCAAACAGCCAGCCGCTCAGAGACCGAAGGGCAAAGCTCATGCAGCGTTGGAAGGAAGTTGGAAGAGCACCTTCATCAAAAACAAAAAAGCCCCAGTGGAGTTTGACCCCATGCAGGGAGCCGAAGCCGGGCAAAGGTGATGGAAGTCCCCCGACTGGAGGAGGGACAGGGCCCAGAGCAGAAGCCTTGGCAAAGCTGCCCCACCAATCACAGCTTGCCTTGCAGGATCTCATTGAGGGTCTTGCCTGCCTGTCCCGAGGCAATTAGCAGCACCACGAGACGGCTCGTTCTCTCCCCGTCCGCAGCTCTGCATCGGGCCTGAAGATGGGAACGCCACCCCAGCAGGGCAGGCGGCCAGAGGGCCTGGCCAGTCCACTCGCCCACTGCCCTGCCTGTTCCAGGCAGCGCTGCTGTGGTGGGGGGAGGCTGGGCTGGAGGCAGCCGGGCTGGGCAGGTGTCTGGAGAAAGGGCAGGCCGGCCCACCTTGGACAGCGACCCAAGTTGGCTTCCCTGCAACCCTCCAGACAGTCCTTGTCCCCGAGTGACCCTGGGCCAAGAGCTGAGCCGGAGTGGGTGGGAAGGAGATCTCCCCGCTCTGAAACAAGAACGAAGAGCCCCCCCCCCCGCCCGTCAGGAGCAGTGTACCTCTTGGGATGTGTCACTGAGCAGCAACAGAAGGGGGCGGCAGCCCCTGGGCGTTGGGTCCCTCCACCCACTGCTGCAGCCCAAAAAAATGGGGAGGGAGGGAAGGGGAACCCCCTGCAAAATCCTGGAGATGGGCCTCTGCACCCCAACAACCAGCTGCCCTGTGAGGATCCATCGTCACTCTCCTGCCTGGCCCCTTCTTTCCTTGGCAGGAAATGCCCAAAGCGCCTCCTGGCACCTTTGCATTGCATTAAAAGGCAAAATTTTGGCCTCTGAGCTTCAGAGGATGCCGAGAAGGAGCCGATCTCTCAAAAGCCTTTCTGTGAAATTGATCACTGGGGAAAGTGGGGCTGGCCAAAGGGGGAGGCTGAAGGGCTGAGCTAGGGGTACCCCGAGACTTTCCTCACCCCAAGGTGGTTTTGCTGCCCCAGCACCCGCTCACCCCACGGCACTCTCTTACCCACACAGGGCTATGGGAAAAGACAAAGACTGAATCCCATCCAGATTTTTGCTTTCTTTTAATTAACGCCCGTTCTGGCAACAGCAGAGCAGGCTTCTGGGCAGCCAATGTTCATCAGCAGAGAACCAGCTCCTTCAGGACAGACTGTCCAGACTGCCAATTCTCTGGGTGGGTCCCCCACTTCCGACTGTCCAAACTCTGCAGAGAAAGGCTCATGGCAGACACAAACAACGCCCAGCTCGGTGGCGGCTGCTTCCCAAACGGCTTCCACTCCTTCCTTCCTTCCTCCCTCCCTGTCTCGCTGGGCTGATCCTGCACCTGCTAAACCCCATTCTGGGGGCTCAAGAGAAACCAGCCCGCCCTGAGACCGAGACCCACACTGGGGAAAGAAGACAGCAAGGCCAGGCCAGGCAGGGCCTGGTGGCCGCTGGTAGCTCCTTTGGCAAGAGAGACGCTGCCCCTGTGCCCAGGGCACAACGTGAGCTCTTGGGGCAGCTAAGGCAAAGCTGGGGCCAAGGGGGTGTCTGGGCCAAGGGCCGGCCCAGAGCTGGACAGGAGCTCCCTGGGGCTGGGCAGGAGAAGGCCTGTGGGCTGAGCAGCTAAATTCGGCTGCTGCCCCAAGTGGGTCAGAGTGCTGGCCCCCTTCCTGGGCCAGGGGGCTGCTGAGCGGCCGACGGCATCCTGGAGGCGAGCCCATGCCCGGGAGTCACTGCTCCGGACGGCCTCGCACAGCAGCTGGGCCTGTTCCCGCAGCTGGGCCAGCTCCCGCTGGGTGCTGCTGTTCTGCCGGAGCAGCTCCTTGGTCCGTAGCGAGATGGCCAGCAGCCCTGACCTGCGCAGGATCTCCACCGTGTTGTGCAGGCGATGCTGTCTCGCCAGGCTGTGGCCCCCCTGCCTCCTGGCGCTCTTGGTAACCATTCTGCCCCCAGCAGGGGCTAATCCAGGACAGGAAGGCAGGGTGGGCCGAGCAGGCACCTCCGGGCTCCCAAGGGCAGGAGTCTGTGGGCTGGCAGGCGACTCTTCTGGAGGTTTCTCGCAGCTGTCCTTTGTGGCAGGTGGGTCTGGAGGTGTCCGGGCCTCCGCCACGCAGAACCGCTTGTGCCTGCTGGGCTCTCCCACTGGGCTGGGCGCTTCCTCGGCCTGCCGGCCTGGGTGAGGAGCAATTCTGGGATAAGCGCCGAGGGTGGGGAAGTGGATCTCCTTGGCAGAGGGCTTCTGGATGGAGAGCATGGGCTTCAGAGAGGCCATGGGCTCCTGGAGGAGGAGGTGGGCTGCAGAGCTGTAGTTACTCTCCAGGGGGTGCTGGTTGCTCCAGGCCAAGAAGGGGGCTGTGGGGGACACTCCCAGGGTCTGCAAGAGGGGCAGGGGGTCAGAAGGGGGGCTTCCCTGGGCTGGGCGCCCACCCGGCCTCACCACCCAACGGCATCCAATTCCTGCAGGCCAGGGGAGCCCACCCCCCAATTGACCGGGCACTCTTTCGGACAGGGTGCCGGGCAGGCAGGAGGCCAGGAGGTGTGACCAGGCTGGGGCAGCCAGGCCAGGGGACGGACTGGCCAGCAACACAGGGGGCTACCTGTTTGGGGATCATGTTCTTGATGAAGTAGAGAGGCGCCAGCGCAGCAGGGAACGTGCCGCCCAAGAGCCCCTCCTTCGCTTTCTGCAACTCCGCCGGCCCTGGGGGCAAGGAAGGGGCGGCCTGGTCCTCAGTGTCCATCTGCTCAATGGCGCTCAGGGACTCCGAGCTCCCGTCTGTGCAGAGAGGAGGGGGGAAGCAGGTCAGGCCAGCGAGAGGGCAGGCTGGGTGGCTGCTGCCACGAGTGCTCCTGACCGTGGAACTCCCTGGTGGCTGCCAGTCCTGCAGCACAGCCCACACCGTGCGGGGCAACCTTGCACCAGTTCCCCCCGTACCATATGGGTCACCCTTCTACTCCCAGTGAGAAGCCCACCACTCCCCCTCCTGCCCCGTCTACCTCCATCCAGCACCCCCCGCCAATCGACTCCCCACCCCTGGTTCAGGCAGAGACCCTCCCCCAGCAACGGGGTTGTTATAGGAAGACTCCCAGCGAGGGTCTATACCTGAAAATCCGGAGTCCTTTTCTCCTTCACTCACTGGGCAGCTGGGCTTGGGGGGGTCATTACGGGTGGCCCTTTCCATCTTCTCAGGCTGCCCCAAATGGCCCCCCCACTTTGAACCTGGCCTGGCCAACGGGCTCCTCTCCTCCTTTGCAGGCCAGGAATGGGAGGCTGAGGGCTCATTCAAAGGCATGACTGCGCCTCTCAGTTCTGTAAGGGGGGCAAAAATGGGAGTGGGGAAGACACGGAAGAGTCAGGGAACCCCACGAAGCAGAACCCCTAACCAGCCACAAACATGGCAACCGGCAGCATCTGGAAGGCTCCAGGTCCCCCTGTGCCCCTCCTGAACCATCAAGCCCCCTGCTGGGCTGAGGCAGGCATGCTAACAGGGCTCCCCCCAGCCCCCCCAAGCAAGGACAGGCACCAAAGGGCAGAGCAGAGCAACCTCAAGGGCACCCCTAGTATCCAGGAACTGAGCTGGGGGGGATTTATCTTGGGGAAGTCCCTGTTCCATCAGTGGAGGGGCTGCAAGAAATGCATCCCACCCACTAAACCACTGGAGCGCTATCCCTGCAGTACCACAGAGGCCACCAGATGGCGCCAGCGGGACCCATTCCCCTCCCAAATTGCCAGCCCCATCCACCTTCCCCTGTCATGGGGGGGGGAGGAGCCTTGCCTGCATCTGGTTGAGGGTCTCCGGTGAAAAAGAGCAGACAACCCTGGGCCCAATGAAGCCAACCTTGAGGAGGGGGCGCCCGCAGGGGCAGCACCTCCAGTGTCCATTTGGACTCAGCCTGTGTGCCCTTGTGAACCCATCCCTGGCACTTCTCCCATCTGTGCTCAGCCTGGCCTTCTTTCCCGGGAATCGCAGGGCCCCTCTGCCTGCTGCAGCAGGCCTGGGAGGCAGGGGCTGAGAGGCGGCTGGAGGGCAGTGAGCCTGCCTGGCTGCTCCCTCCTCTCTCACTGGGGCCCTTCCAGGCCCAAGGACAGAGGCTTGTGGGCTGTGCAGCCATGGGCAGGCTTCAGTCTCTCCCTTGCAGCAGGCCCAGGCCCACCTTAATGACAGCCAGGCAGCCCAAAGGGCTGGAGAAAATGGCAACGCCGTCCCTCCTCCAAGGCCGGAATGCCAGACCCCCCAAATGTCAGGCTGATCTCCTGGCTAATCTGAGTGGGGTCACAGGTGCCTCCAGCCGCGCTTTCTGGGCAGTGGGAGAACTTGCTTTGGACTATGCAACTGATCCATGCCCTTCCTTCTCCCAACCCTCCAATGCAGTGCATTACTAACCTGCCTCTCTCGTTCTCTCACTCTTTTTCTCTCTCACCATCACCAACTCAGGGATGGCCTTTGGGGAGAAGGGCAAGCTGGTGAACACAGCTCAGCCTGAACATGGGAAGCCAAGGGGTGCCAGCTAAATGGAGCACAGTCACTGTCCAGATTGCCAGCTGCTCTCAGGTGGACATGCCTGCATGTTCGTGCCTAGCCCAAAATGGTTCCAGAACCCAGAAGGTGGAAAGCCAGCAGGTGCTCAGGATGCTGGGAAAAGCTCTTGGGACCTTAGAAACAGCAGCTTTTAGGGGGGAAACCAGCAGGATGGCTGCAATCCGTCTCATGGGGAGGGGGTGCAGAAGGGCCCCTTCTTTTCTTGCTAGCGAGAATGCTTCCAGCTTCTTCTGTGCCTCCACAGGTCTCCTCTTCACTCACCTGCCCCAGCATGAAGCAACCAGGCAGCCACAAGGCCTCACCCGACCCTGGGAACCCAGCCGGGACTGGCAGCAGGAGGGCCTTTCCGCTGTACCTGCTTAGCCTGAAATGCTACCTGCCGTTCCCCTTCAAGCCTGTCCAGCAATACAAACTGCACAATCCCGACATCCGCACCACGCTGGCCTGCAGCTGCAACCTTTGGGACTCTGGCTCTTGTCCACGGCCCCAGGTGAGGCTCACGCAGCAAGGACGGGAGGGAAGAGCCCCTCCAAGCCACGACCCCCCCCCAACAGCCCCGTTGCAAAAAGTCTGGCGCCCCTTCAAGAGACGCGACCCCTGCCCGGCCCAGAAGCCCCCCCCAGTGCCCCCACCCTAGGCGGCCCTGCCATCGCCAAGGGCCCCTTACCCGGCGGGGGCCGCCTCCGCATCCCCGATGGGGGAAATCAAGCGGGGCGCCACGCCGAGGCAACGCGCGGACTCCCGGAGGCGCGGCCAAGAGGGCGTCGGGCGAGGCTCAGGTGGCCTGGGCGTCGGGCCGAGCCCCCCTTTCCTGGGGGCGCCTGGGCCAAGGGCTGCTCCCGCGGGAAGGCTGCGTCGCCCGCACAGCCGCCCGGCTCCGCGCAGAGACCCCCGGCCGAGGCCAGCCGGTGGGCGCCCCCCCCCCCTGGCTGCCCCTGCAGAGGAGCTCCTGCTTGAGGGCACTCCCGCAGAGCAGCCCCCGCCTCGGAGGGCGTCTGGGAAGGCGGGGCGGAGGCCAGTGGCGGAAAGGGGATTGGGGATTGGGGTCGCGCAGCCCCTACCTGCTCGTTTCGCTAAGCGGCGCGCGGGCACGCCCTCCACATGACCGGCAGCCGCAGCGGCCAATAGGCTGCTCCCTCGTCCCGCAGAGGGCGGGCACGGGAGCCACGTGCGGAGCGAGGCGCTCGGTCTGCACCCACGTGAAGGGCGGACCCAGCGCGGGACTCGTGTGGGGGCGGAGCCAAAGGTGCCTCTCGTCGGGCTGCTTCACTTCCCAATTGGCCCTTTAATGGACTTTTGGCTCCGCCTCCCGGGCCCCGAGACTGCTCCCGGCCAAGCCAGGCGGGCGAGGGGCGGGGCGGCAGCGCCAGTTGAGGGTCAGTTCGGGATTGTTGTGAGCCGCCAGAGCTACCGCCCCACCCGGCGGAAGGACTAGCGAGATCCCGCGGCTAGAGCGGCAGTCTAAGAAGTTCCGGGTTCGGAGCCGCTTCCCGCCCAGGCGCAGGAGCCTTTCTGTCCCGCCGGCGGAAAACCATAGAGCTCGGATCGCCAGAGCGCCGCCGCGGAAACCATGCCTTCCGAGCCCGCCTCTCAGCGACGTGGAATAAGCTGCCCCCCCACAGGGTCTGAGATGGTGCGCATGCGCCAGACAGGGAACGCCCTGATTGGTCCCGCAGCGGGACGTGGGTCGGCGGCGCCTCCGCAAAAGCAGGCGGAAATCCTACCGGTGAAGCTCGCCCTTGCTGGAGGGCGGTTCCTGCCCGGAGCCAGGCCTCTGCCCCCTTCTCTGCCCCACCGGAAGGCGGTCTGGGGCGCACCACTATACAAGGGCAACCCCGGACAGCGCGGTTGTCATCCGGCAGGTGCAGAGGCCGCGAGAAGGGCGGAGACCCGATTCAAGAAATAAGTGAAAATCCGCCCGTCTGAGGGAGATCTGGCAGCTGCCCCCCTGCGCGCCCGGTCCTGGCTGTGCAGCTCGCAGGGCCCGCCGGGAGGAGGAGCGGCCCATGGAGCCCCCGGGGCCCAAGCAGGCCAGGAGGTTCGCCCTGAGGACGCCGGGGGAGGAGGAGGAGGAGGAGGAGGAGGCAGCCGCGGTGAGCGCCCCCTGCCTCTTCTCCGGGCAGCGGTCAGGCGGGAGCAGTTTCTGGAGGGGCCGGCCGCTTTAGGGCTGAACAGCCCCTCCCTCCCTCCCGGATGGCGGGGGGGCATTTAGGAAGCCCAGATTCGGGGGGCCCTCCAGCCCTTAGAGAGGGGGCTGCTCTGGGCCCCGCCGGGGGGAGAGTTTTCAGAACTGAGCGCAAAAGGAGAGGGAGGCCAGTTCTGAACGGCAGCTTTGCCGGCTGAGACACGGGAGCCGTTTGTGCCAGGCGCAGGGGACCCTCCTCTATTCCCCATGGAGAAGGCACGGGGCTAGCTCCTTTTCTGGAAGATCTCGCAGCAGCGCAAGGGGAAGCCTCTGGAGACAGTTACAGACCTTCTGCAAATTCTTTCTTGTGCCCATGTAGGGATGGGAGGCTAATTCCCCACTTGCCCCTCTCCGGCTCCTCTCCTCCCACTCCACTCTCTGCCCCCAGCAACCTCCTCCTCGAGTGATCCGTGAATCTCTTTGCAGATTCCTATTCCTTAACTTGTACCCAGAAAGTCTGCAGAGGAAAGTCTCTCTTAGGGGCTGCCATCTCTCCTTTCAGCATCTGAAACGGATCCTTTGACCTCTCGTTCCCAGGTGAAGCCTCTCTTCAAACCCGCTTCAGCAGCCAGAGCCACAGCATTGCCTGAGCCCTCAGCTGCGCCCAGGGGGGCATCCTACGCAGACTACATCGTTGGACAAGCCGTCGCCTCCTCTTCCTCCTGCACTGCTGCTCAGCTGAAACCCACCTCTGATGCTCCCGCTGCATCGGCCAGGAACATCTTGGAAGAAGCCCCTCTGCAGAACCAGGACAAGAGTGCTGTGCCCCCCAAAAGCACCGCAGAAGACAAAAGCTCCCTCTTGAACCCCACAGCCCCCAAAGCAGGGGCCAAGCACAACACTATTATCATCAGTCCCCGGCAGGTGAGATGAAGCAAGCAGGCCAGCAGGGGACATTCCTGGTCAGCTTCCCCATTTTGACAGCCTGGCTATTGTGTGGCCAGTGCTCAGGGACAGCTGTCCAGGAAGGTGGCAGGACTGGGCGCAGCTGTTCTTCACATCCAGTGCAGACCACTTAGAAGATCAGCTTTCCCCATCCTGGGAAGTGCTCAGATATCAGGCTACCCCAGACACCCTAGGCGTTACTGAGAATTCTGGGAACTGGCCTTTCTAACTGGCCCGGCCTCTCACCAGCTCCCGTCCCTTCCTGTTCCTGCAGCAGAAGGCAAGGCCTTTCTCCACACCCTAATAGAATAACTCCACTTTCTTCAGGATTTCACACATACTGCTGGTGCTTTTGGCGCCCAATTACAGCTTCTCGTCTCGCCTCATAGAAGTGGGCTGCCTGCATGATTCTGTGACCACAAGCAGGTGGGAAATTCTCCCCAGTGACAGTGGACTCTTTTCTGCCCTTAGAGGGGGAACCCCATTCTGAAGTTTGTCCGCAACGTGCCTTGGGAATTTGGTGAAATTGTCCCAGATTATGTGTTGGGCCAGAGCACCTGTGCCCTTTTCCTGAGGTAAGCAGAGGAATCAGATTGACTTCCACCACAAGCTATTCAGGTAGCTACTTTGGGCTCAAATCCCGCACCAGGGAAACTGTTTTTATAATTCACTGTAAATGTACTTGCATGTATAGTAATATCAGTTTTGAATGCAAGCTTTGCCAGGTGAAACACAGGGGTGCTTTTTGCCAGAAGTAGGGGACCCATGTTTGTTCGCAGTTGAAAAAGAATTGGGCTTATTCCTTTTCTGAAAAAAATCACACAGTACCGCAAGGGAAACCATCTGACATGAGTTAAGCAAATTCTTTTTCAGGTCCAAAATGCTGTTTCCCCCTTGGTATAAGCAGAATGGAGCATTTAAAATTGTTTCTAAACTTCCCACGATAAGAGTTGGTACAGCCTGAAAGGCAACAGCCCATTTTAGCCACACGGAGATAAAGATTTAGGATGCATATTGCAGAATCCAATGCAGATCAGAATCAGGCCCCTTTTTTCAATCATTATTGCAACATTATTGAAGTTTGATAAAACCAAATCTTGATAGCTGCTTCCTCTTTGAAAAAGACAAACTCCATTCTGACGATTCTCTTTGTAGTCTCCGGTACCACAACCTGAATCCAAATTACATCCATGAGCGGCTGCGTAACTTGGGGAAGATGTACCAGCTGCAGGTGCTCCTGCTTCAGGTTGACGTGGTAAGATATAGCCCCCCCCCAAAACCCCGATGTCACCTTCCTGCTTTGGGCAGCCAATTCCATGGATTTCCTTGCGCCATGTTCCTTTGCTAGCCCAGTGTCCACTAACAAACTCAGGCCCACAGTGCTTCTGTTCATCCTCTGTGGCTGCTGAGAGTTTGGCAGCTGTCAGGATGCCTGCACGGCTGGGCCCATTGCAGGGGGAGATGCTGGGACGCAGAGCCCTTTCCTGCCTTTCTAGGCTGGCTACCTTAACTGCAGTTCCTCTCGGCCCTTTCAGAAAGACCCCCACCAGGCAGTCAAGGAGCTGGCCAAGATCTGCATCCTTGCTGACTGCACCCTCATCCTGGCTTGGAGGTGAGATCCCAACGCTGAGCGGGTGGGAGAGACCTGGCTATGGAAGACCCCTGCAAGCAAGTTTCCGCTTTAAATTTTCCTTAAGGCGAGATGCCCCTGCTCACACAGAAAGTCATGCCTAGATTTTCTGAGACAAACAGGAATAACCTCATAAACGCAGAGCAGAGAGGCAGGTCTCATGAGCTTCCTGCAATGGCTTTCTGATCCTGTCCCACCCTTAGTCCAGAAGAAGCCGGACGTTACTTGGAAACGTACAAGGCCTACGAGCAGAAGCCGGCTGACCTGCTGAAGGAGAAAGTGGAGCAAAACTATCTCTCGCGGGTACGGCCCTTTCCTTTGGCTGGGGAGGGAGGCAGGCAGAGCCTGACTGGGGCACGCAGGGCACCTTCCCAGCCCTGGGCTGCCAGTTGCCTTGCCTAGCTTCTTTCTTAAACAGCCGACCAGAGTTTCTGCTAAATGTGGCCTAATGCTACAGCTGTTTTGTTCTCTCCCAGGTGACCGACTGCCTGACCAGCGTCAAATCCGTGAACAAAACAGACACCCTGAGCCTGCTGTCCACATTTGGAGTGAGCGAGCCAGTTCTCTGCTGGGGGTGGGCTGGGAGGATTTGGTGCTTTGAGAGCAGCACCCCCCAGCAATGTGCAAGCCAGAAGGGGTCATCTATGACTCCCCCCTCCCCCCAGGCTGTTGAACTTCCCATCAGCCCTAGCCAATGTAGCAAAAGTGGGAGGGATGGGACTTGCAGTTCAGCAATATTTGCCGTCAAGCCTTCCCCTTCACTCCCAGGTGCGGGCTGGTGTATATGCATTCGCTTCCTACTGAGCTCCCGCTGGGTCTGATGCCCGCTAATGCACTGGGATCATTCCGCTAAGTCCCTCTGCCCTTACCTTGCAGTCACTGGCCAATATTGTCCAGGCGTCCAAGGAGGATCTTTCCCTGTGTCCTGGCGTTGGGCCTCAAAAGGTGAGTGGAGGCTGTTGCCCCAAGCCCTCCAACCCATCGGCTGGCACACTGGAAGCCCCTCCCAGTCAGAGGCTTCTCCTTTCTAAGCTAATGAGGGCGCAGCATCCTTCAGTTGCTGCCCTTAACCCCCAGAAAGGAGACCAAGCTGGCACACAGGGGAGGTGTGGCTATTTCAGTTTGGGAAGCCAAACACAATAATAGCCCAGCAGTAATATTTTTTGTTTTTTGATCTTCACTCGCACATCTTCTTTCCAGGCAAAGAGGCTCTTTGATATCCTTCACGAACCATTTCTGAAGGTGCCCAAATGAGGAGGGGGCTCGAGAGAAACAGAGGATGGGCCCAGGATGATTCAGAATCATCTCTGAAAGGACCAGTTTCCAATCCCCTTCCGCCCTCAAAACTCCAGGAAGAGCAACACAACTCTCTCTCTCCCTCTCTCTCAGGAGAAATGAAGCCCCTTATTTTGCTATGTGGACATTGCTTAACAGAACAGGCAATAAAACAGCCAGGAAAAACAAATAATGCAGCCACTGATTTTTAAGGGGAGAAATGGCAGGGAACGCTGGTATGCAGAGTTCCTGGATTTATTTGGAAGGGCAAACAGCACGAACAAAACGCTTCAAAAGGCTGTTAAGTTCCTGCTGCAAAGAGTCCAGCCTGGTCGTCCCCCTCCCTCCTCCTCCTCTTCTTTTTGGCTCTGGGCTTTGGGCCCTCCCCGTTAGTTTGCAATGGCTGTTCCGGCCCTGCCTCTTGCCCCAGAGGGATGGCCCAGTCCTGCACGATGGACTCCAAGAGCTGCTGTGTTTCTGTCCTTTGTTCCTGCAGAGGCTCCTCGTCCAGTTTCCCCTTTTTGCAGGCCAGGGGTTCCCCAGCAGGGCCCCCTCTGGCTGACCCCAGACCCCCTTCTGGAAGGCTTCCCAGACAGCCGATGTCCCCTGGCTCCTCCTTGAGGGCTGCAACGGCCCACAGCTCCTCCTCCACCTTCTCTCGCCTCTTCTTTTTTTTCTTCTTCTTGCAGCTGAAGAGTTCCTCAGCTAGGTCCTCTGTGGTGGCCCCCAGACTCTCTTCTGCAAGGCTCCCCAGAAAGGGGACATCCCCCAACTCCTCTTTAAGAGCCGCAATGCCCCACAGCCCCTCTGTCCCCTTTCCTGGGCTCTGCTTGATGTAGCCAGGGAATTCTCTACCTGGTTCCTCTCTGGGTGACCCCAGACCCTCTCCCAGAAGGCTCCCCAGGCAGGGGACGTCTCCCGGCTCCTCCTTGATGGCAAGGACACCCCACAGCCCCTCTGCCGCCTTCTCCCGGCTCCCCCTCTTTCTCTTCTTTTTGCAGCTAGGGGGTTCCCCATCAGGGTCCTCCCCGACGGCCCCCAGACTCTCTTCCAGGGGGCTCCCCAGACAGGAGATGTCCACCGGCTCCTCCTTGATGGCAGTGATGCCCCACAGCCCCTCCGCCCCAGCCCCCTGCGTGCTCTTCCTTCTCCTCTTCTTGGCTTTGCATCCGCCCAGCGCTGGCTCTCCTCCGCAATCGCTCAGGCCTCCCTCTGGCTCTCGGCTCCCAATCGGCAAGCAGGGGTCTCGCTCAAGCTGCCAGGAACTTGAATTGCGGTCCGGCGACCCCTCAGTCTCCCGGTTGCTCTTCCGCTTCTTCTCTTTCTTCCTGGCTCTCCTCCTCTCCGGCTCTTCCTCCCCTCCTAACCAGGAACCCTCCTCCAAGGGGCCCATCGGCCGCCCGCCAAACGCTGGGAGCGTGGCCGGCTCTGTTGCCTCCGCCTTCAGGAGGCGCCGCTTGTTCCCAGCGCTCGCTGGCTCTCGCAGCAGCCCCTCGGCAGGCTCCGTGGAGCCCCCCAGAAGCGGCTCGGGCCCTTCTGGCCGCCAGAGTCCCTGCTTCACAGGCAGCAGCGGCCGTTTCTTGCCCCTCTTCCGGGCGGTCCCCCCTGCCGCTTCCGAGGCAGGGCGAGCGTCCCTGAGCCGGGCCCCAAAGGGGAGGAAGCGCTGCTTGAGCCCTCCCGGCACCCGGGGCGCCGGCCTCTCCGCCACCGGGAAGAGGGGCCGGGCGGCTCCGGGCTCTCCGTAGCGCTCCTGGATCCTCAGGCAGCCGCTGAACGGCTGGGCGCAGGCGAGGCCATCCGGCCGGCCGGCGGCAACCAGCAGGCGGGCGCCGCTCTCCTCCCGGCTCCCATGGAGGCTGTAGACCCTCTGGCTGCCGTCGGGCTGCGGAGCCCTCAGAAGGCGGGAGCCCAGCAGCGTCAGGCTGCGGCCGTCGAGGCTGGAGGGAGCAGAGGCCGCGTCAGCTGCGCCCGGGGAGGAGCCATGCCCGACCCTTCGCCCAGCCCCGCGCCTGGATCCTCGGGCAGCCAGGCCTGCCTCCCGCAGCGCCTCCTCTCCTTGGCGTCCCGGGCAGGAGCGGAGCCCAGAGCGCCCACCCCACGCCCCCCGCCCCGCGCCCCCTCACCTCTCCGGGCGAAAGTCGGCGGGGCCCCTGATGAGCAGCAGCCGCGTGCCGGGCGCCGCCAGGCTCTGCGCGCAGAGGGCGGCCCCGGGGGCGAAATGTCGCGCGCAGAACTCCTCCGGGCACTGGAAGCGGGCGGGCCCTGCGGGAAGCAACGGCGCGCTCACGGGGGCTCCGGGTCGGGCAGCCCATCCCGCCCCTCCCGCGCTGCGGTGCCCAGCAGACTCCGGGCCCGATCCCCCCCATCACCCCCGACACTCACCGGCCGCCGCCGCCTCCCCACCGGGCGCCCCCATCTCTCGCGGGCCACGTGCGGCGCCTGCGCAGCGCCTTCCGGGAGGCTCCGTGCTCGGAGGCCTCGCGTGCGCCTGCGCCGTCATGGCCCCGCCCCCCCACGAGGTTGGTATCGTTGGTCCCTTAAAGGGACTGGAGACCTTCGGAGAGAGTGGCGGTTCCTCCTGTCGCCCCGTCACTGGGGCAGCCCCAGGCCGGGAGGGGTTCACTGGTCAGGGTGCAGGTCCCATCATCCCAGGCCCCTGCCCAGTGGCGCGGCTGATGGGACTGGTAGTATAGGCCTGGCACCCCCCGCATGTTGGCTGCATTCTGGAGGCGAGCAAACTGGCTGCTGTCTCGGCGGTGCCTGATGGGCACTGCGATCCAATCAGGAGTGCAGCCTGTTTAGCCTCTGCTGGCCGCGTGCAGCGCGCCGTCTTGCCGCCGGGTGTCGCTATTGCAGCGGCTTGCCGCCCCGGGAGCCCGGCGGCGGAAGATCCTTGCAGCAGCCGCTTCCCGGGGAGAGATCGCCCGGCTTTGGCGGACTTGGCGGTTGAATGCAGGGCCGCCTCGCTCTGAGGCCGGGCCTGGGGTCAAGTGAGAGGGGCAGGAGCAAGGAGAGCCGCCCGCCTCTCCGCCGTGGCCAGAGGAGGAAGCCCTGCCCGGGGGGAGAGTGCCGGCCAGCTCCTCTAGGCTAACCGTGGGGCGACGGCGATGGGCGGGGAGGTCGCCAGAGCCGGGAAGGAAAGCGGAGGGCAGCCGGAGGGGCCGCTGTCGCTAACGGGACCCCGGCCCAGAAGCGCCTGGGCAGCGCCCGCAGCTGTCGGAGCCGGAGGGAGGAAGGTGCCCCAGATTGTGGTGCTTGGCCAGGAGGCCAGGCTGGGGGACTCCGTCCAGATGGCGCTGGGGAAACTGAGGCAAAAGACAAGCAGGCGGCCACTTGCAGATTCTGCTGGTCAACAGATCTCACCTCCACCCCAAATCCTGGCCCTGCCCTACCCTGCCTGCCTGCCCTGCCCGCGCCAAAAAGCAGAGCCTGCAGAAAGTGACCCCAGAAAAGGGTAGCCGAAATGGGTCTGCAAGGCTCACGGCCTGGGGGACAGGCGGCGAAGGCCCAGGCCTCGCCTTCCTGTTCTCTGAGGCCCACAGACAGCCCCCACACACACACTGACGTCAGCCGTGGGTTCCTCCGCAGCCCCTTTCCCTCTTGGCCAGGAAGGGCTTATTCCTGTCCTCAAGGCCCTTGGCTTGTGCTTGGGAAGCCTCTCAAGGCTTCTTCCCAAGAAGGACTCCCCAGCGGGCAGCTGAAAATAGCCTCCCTTCCTCCGTCCGCCCTTTGGGGCTGCAGGCAGGGTGAGACCCGCTGGGACCCCCTCCTCCCTCGTGAGTGCGGCAGCTCCACTTCCAGCCTCCCAAGAGCTGACCGGGTTGGTGTCTGGGGGTGGGGGGCTGGTCATCCTTCTTGTTTTCCGCCCTGGCCAAAGTTGCTCCTGGAAGAATCCTACTTGAGTCCCAGCCTGCCCTGCTTGCTTGACCTCAGCCAGCCTCTCCGAGTCCAGACTTCATTCGGCCCCTGTGACCAAGAGCCATTTTTAAAGCTCTTTTTCTTCCAAAAATGTGCCTACCCTCCTAGGGAAGGGATTTCTGCTAAAGAGTCAGCAGGCGAGGAGCAGCCCCTTAGAAAGGCAGCAGCCATGTGTTGCCCATTCCTCCCCAGCCTGCAAGAACTCCGGGGTCTTCATCGGGGTATAGAGGTGCCCACCGCTTGCAGCCTCCGGTGGCTGAAGGGACAAACCGGAAAAGACCTTTGAGCTGGTCAGCTGCAGGCAAGACTTGCTTGCTGCAGGGGAGATTAACTTGCAAGCTGCCTTCAGACCTCTAGGACCCTCTGGGTTGGCTGCATTTTCCAACCTAAAAGTTATTTTCCTCCTCTTAGGGCCTGGCATGTCTTTGCAAGCCCCCCCCCCATTTAGCATTTACCGGGGGGGGGGGCATTCTTGGTCCTGGACCCAGAGGCTGGGTTGAAAAATGCCGAAGGGGGCTTTATGATTGGCATAAGGAGTGGCCTTATTATGACTAAAGGCTATTTGCTTCCCCCAACCCCTCCCACTTCCCACTGGAGACCTGAGGGGCTTCCTAGAATTGCATCCTGCTCCTACAAGGACTGTGGGGGGGGGTGTTAATTTGAGCCAGGGCACCGTGCCATAAAGGGATCAGGAAGCCAAAGGACAGAGCAAGAACAGGCCCAGCCCTACCTCACCTTCAGGCTTCGGAGGTGCTAGGAAGGAGCCTGGCTGCTTCTCCCCCCCCCCCACCTCTGGCATTGCTGGTCATATTTCACCATTCAGGCAGGCAGGCAGGGCTGTTTTGAAGGAAATGAGCTCCAAAGAAGTGGGGGCTTTTTCCTGAGCTTCCCAGATTGTAAACATCCCCCTGACCCCTCACCCGTTCGCTCCCTTCTGGCCCTGTCCTGGGGAAGCCTTTGAGAGGACAGGGGAAATTGGGGGGGGGCTTCCGTTCCCCGGGCACTGCCCTCTGGCCTGGGTGGGCACCTTGAGTCGGGTGGGTGAGCCATGCCCAGGTCCTACTCTTCCCCCCTCCCCCGTTTCTCTTGCACAGCAGGAATTGTCTTGGTCCCCAAAAGAGGAGAGTGACGAGCGGCACTCTTGGGGGTTCCTGGGTGGGGAGGCAACAGGAGAAGGGGGGAGGTGGGCTTGTGGCAGCCCAAAGGCTTCTGCAGAAACCAGCCCCTGCCTGGCTCAACCCAGTGAGGGGCTGGGCCCCAAGACCCACGCTGGCTGGATGGAGCAGGGCCCAGGGGGCTCTTTTCCCAAGGTCAGCAGCCCCATCCTCTGCCCCCCCCCCTCCGCCCAGCCTGCATCCGTTCTGGGATGTTTCCAGTGTAGGATCCAGGCTGCCAAAGAAGAGGACAGCCAAGCCCAGAGACAGGCTTGATGAGTTAAGTCCTTGTCAAAGTGGGAAGTGTTGGGAAGGAAAACTGTTTTTCATGGTGTTTTTCTTCAGGGGGAGAGAGGGGGGCATTCCTGGAAGCCTCTCGCTATTGCTGCTGCTGCTGCTTTGCCTGCGAAGCCCAGCCCGGCCGGCATGTTCCCTGGAGGCCACCGGGCTGTCCGAGAGGCCGGCTATTCTTCAGCCATCAGGAAAGTTTACATCTTGCAGGATAAATGAGTGGCGTTTCCCGCTCTGTTTACAGCCAGGGACGGGTGGCTGGACAGGTCAGGGCAGGAGCAGGATTGATGGGGACGCAGCGTGACTGCAGCTGGCCCTGGGGGGACACTTTGTCTCTCGGCGCGGATCCAGATGCCTGCGGGGAGGGGAGGTCAAGAGCTCGGACAGAGCACGCCATTCCAAGGTGGCCCTGCCCTCCTCCCTCCGCCTGGATTGCAACCCACTACACACCCTCCGGAGCAGCCAACACCTGCAACAACACCTGGCTGATGACTATTTTAGCTCTTTAATTTTAAATTTTGTAGGCCATTCATCTACGCATTTACAATATATTAGACTCACCGGATTTAAAAATTCAAATAAAAATCCAAATACATAACAAAATAAGCACATTAATCAATACAAGGAAGAACTAAACCAGCAGGCAAAGGAGTTAAGTGTCTTTATGCAGCATATACATTTTGAATTAAGATATATCAAAAAGCTTTAGAAAATAGACCAGCCTTTGCCCAAGGCCAAAAAGAAATTGCAAACATTTTTTCGTCATTCGAGGGCTGGCAGAAATAAAATGGGTGACAGCGCAGCTATCAAGGAGAGGAAGAACAGACCGCAACTTGTTATTGGAAGGGCCTGCGATTCCCTCCTCCTGGGCTTAGTCTGCAGACCTGGGGTCTCTTGGTGGTCTCGCATCCTAGTAGGAGGCCCAGCTTTCCATGGGATCTTTTCCAAGGTCAGCCTAGGTCCAAACTTTAAAAGGGAAAACAGACCAACGGCAATAGCTACTAATTGGGGTATCCAGCACGGTGGGGTGGGATCTGCCCCCCCCCCCAGTGCCCAGTTGAGCCAGCCCGAGGAAGGTGGCAGTGGGGTCTCCGAGCTGGTGGGAAGGGAGGAGGTGAAGCTAGTTTGCAATGGGGGCTGGAAGTGGTGATGTGCTGCTGGTTTCCTCTCGGGCCCCACTTCAGATAGGATGGGGGTGGGGGTGTTGCAGAAACCAAACTATGACGAGATGCAAACAGTTCTTCATCCTCCAGCTCGGCCAGGGTGAAGGAGCCAATTCCAGGTCTGCTGCTAGATCGAGTGTTTCATCCCTGTATCTGTAGGCAGATGTTCCCATACGGTATGGGATCTCCTGCTATAGGCAGGGGGTTGGACTAGAAGACCTCCAAGGTCCCTTCCAACCCTATTGCTCTATGTTCTATGTCGGGTCTCCAGACTTGGCAACTTTAAGAGTTGTGGACTTGATTTCTGAGAATTGCACCCATCATAAAGTTGCCAAGTCTGGAGAGGCCTGTTCGATGTACTCGGAGCCTCCTAGATCTGGAGGAGGAGGAGCCCGTGTGCTCCTTTCCTCTGGGCAAGGAAGGCGGCACTTGGCATCCCAACTCCCCCCCCCCCACCAGCGGGTTCCCCATCCCGGTTTGATGTGGTTCCAAGGCTGAATCAGGGTTGTTTCCTGGGTCTCTCTCTGGGCACAGCTCACTTTGCTTCTTCCCTCGGTCTCCCAAGCTTGCAGGGAGCCCTTCCTGGCGCAAGACTCGGTGAACCCTGAAATATTCTTGGCTGAGGCGCATCGGGGTTTCAGATCCACCCGTTGGGTATAAGGGTGGGGGTCCCTCCAGGGGGTCCCTTCCCCTGGTCTAAGAGCGGATGGATTTGTCCCCCAGCCTGTTCTATCCCCCCTCCCTGGCAATCACCCCTAAATCCAGCCTGCCTGGACCAGTGGCCTTTCGCCACAGCCCCCCAAGTGGCTGGAAGGGAGGCTGCTGCCCGTCCGGCTCTCAGCCGTCATGTCCAGCAGGCAGCCGCGCTCCTCGCAGGGGTGAGCATCATAAGGCAAGTTGGCTTCTTTGGAAAGAGCCGGCTAGCCCTCCGGCCAGAACCTCAAGGCCGAGAACGTCCAGTTGGGGCTGAGCAGGTGCTCACAGCTGAGCTTCCGCCCCCTTCTCTCTTGGGCCCCTCCTCTGTCGCTGCAGCCGGGGGGGTCGCCGGCGCACCCGGGAGAGGCAGGCGAGCCCAAAGTGCGAGAGGCGATGCAGCTGGAGGCGGACGCAGAAGACCTCGCTGGTGGGAATCTCGGAGAAGAAGGCCCGGTCTTGGCAGACGTCCCTCTCGGCCCCCGTCAGCTCCAGGGTCTCCAGCACCGCCAGGATGAGCTGCCGCTGGGCTTGGCTCTGCAGGCCCCGAATGTCCAGCAGGGCTGCCAGGTGCTTCTTTCTGGGGGGAGGGAAGAAGGGGATGGCTAGGAAGAGGGAGCCAGAAGGGAATTTGGCCGCCCCCGGGAACGGCGAAGGTGGCTAGGCTGCGTGGCTTCCCAAGGGACGGGGGCTTGCAGGGGGGGAAGTTCCCATACACGGAATGGAGAGGGAGTACAGGTAATCCTCCAGTTACGACCACAATTGAGCCCAAAATTTTTGTTCTCAAGTGAGACATTTGTTAAGTGAGTTTTGGCCCACTTTACGACTTTTCTTGCCACGGTTGTTAAGTGAATGGCTGCAGTTAATAAGCTAATGATGTGATGGTTAAGTGGATCCATCTTCCCCAGAGGCTTTGCTGGTCAGAAGGTGGCAAAAGGAGATCACGTGACCCGGGGACACTGCAACCATCATAAATGTGAGTTAGTTGCCAAGCGTCCAGATCTTTGATCACGTGATCCTGGGGATGATCACAGCAAAGGTCGTAACTGTGAAAACAGTCATAAATCACTTCTTGCAGGGCTGTTGTAACTTTGAACGGATGTACTAAGTCAAGAACTCCCTGGATGTGGCTGAAAAGACTTGGCAGCTAAGGCTACAGCGGGGGGGGGGGGGGGGGAAATGGCAGCAATTATGGTGAGGGGCTTTCCCCCACCTACACATCAGGCTGAGGCACTGCTGGCTGGGGGTGGAGAGGAAGGGAAAGGGGAGCCGTGGCCCTGAATGCTCATTGGGCCCCCAAGAGCAGCACAGCCAGAAAGAGGCCCCTGGCTGCAGGCAGCGGGTTCAGAAGGCACCGGGGCCCTTTCAAGCCATCCCTGCTTGAGGAACGAAATGGGGGGGGGAAGGAATAGCAAACCCCTCTCGTAATATATGAGAAAACCTGCACACTCCCCCAGGGAACCCAGGCTCCAAGTGCAGCCAGGACCCTCAAATGCTGGATGGGAGCCTATCCTGGGGGTGACTGGGCTTCCCGGGGGGGGAGGGGTACTTTGGAAATCTTTCGTGCCTGAGGACCAAGTTGGGGACACACACACACACACCCCAGCCTGGGGTGAGAGAGCGCAGGAGCCTCCCAGTTCTGCTGTTCCGCGAAAGAGTTTATTTAAAGCCCTGCAGCTTCGGATGCTCGTTAATCTCAGGAAGCTGGCACGGGGCCATACAATCAGCCAGGCCCCAAACCCTGAGGGTGGGGTGGCAGAGGGAGCAGAGCAGCAACCGCCATAGGGTTAACGGCTCCTGGGGGGCTCTTGGCATCGGGGGTCTGTAGCACAAGGGGAGGAGACGTTGCAGCCCCCAGCCCCAGCCACCCAGACCTTTCAGGGAGTCTGGCTTGGCCCGGGGGACCCCCTCCATCTCAGAGGCTCCACCCAAGCCGGTGGCCACTGAGCGGGACTGATAGCACGGCTCCCCTTCCCTATTTTTAGGAGCGCCCCTCCGCTCCTCCAAGTCACCCAGCCAGGGCAGCTTAAAAGGGGTGCTGGCATCCTGTGCTCAGGTGGGAAGGCAGGCACGCTCTCCCCCCCCCCCCGCAGGCTGGGCACTGCAGTGGGTGAATCCCCACTTTCCCAAGGGATGGCAACTGGCATGTCTTGGGCACCGAGGCGGCTGGTCGGTGGCCCTGGGCCAGGAGCGCCTGCCAAAAGATTCTCTCCCGAAGACGTGCCAACGGACCCTTCGCGCCTCAGGGGAGCTTCCGGGCACCCTGGCAGAGCCCGTGTGGTTCTTGTCCTGCTGCCAGCCCAAATGGCAGTCTGGCAGGAAATGGCCACCAAACTCTGCTTCCTGTCTGAAGCTCGGCCACTTGCTTTGCTCTGCTGGACGGCTTCGTTCTCTCTCCCTCTCTTTTTTCTTTCAAGAAACAACAAGTCCAGATAAAACAGGAAGCGTCCGTCAGCCACACTTAACGGGCGATCTGTCGCCTCGAAACAATTCCTAAGGATGCAATCAGCAGGAAGATGGAAAGAAAAACAAGGGGGGAGGCACGATAAGGCCCAGCTTTGCCCTCCCCGCCTGACGCAGCCGGGCTGGTAGCCCAGCAGAGCCGTGTGGGCAGAGCCGGGAAGGGTATTTATAACTCCCCAGCCGCCTGTCCTGGGAAGTGGAAGTGACCGTCCTGCTTCCAAGAAGTGGGTCCTTTGGGAGAAGGCAGAGGAGGACACTGACGGGAGCATCATCTACCTGCCTCAGTTTCCCCCGCAGAGGTCAAAGGGTGCTCAAGGGAAGAGGGGAACAGACAGAGGCTGCCAAGGGAGCCATGAGCAGATGGCCCGGGCTGCCCTGGGCAGAGAGCTCCGAGTTGCTTGGCGCGGCCTCTGCTCTCGGCAGAAGGAAGAAGATGGTCGAAGCAGTAGAAAACTAGGAGGGGCTTGGGGAGGGGGGAGAGCAGGGGCCTGGGTGATCTATGAAAGCCCACGGGTGAGGGAGGGGGTGCTGGGCGTGGACCTGTCCTGGATCCCTAGTCTTGTTCCTTCCTCAAAGAGATGTGGCCACCACTCTGTTGCGATGGGTGGCAGGTCTCTGGGGAGGGTGGGAGGGGGTCCTAGCAGCAGCTAGGGAGGTAGCCACCCCGGAGGGCTGCCCTCGGGGGCACGTCTCTCTCCCAAATGCCAATGCTGAGTGGGGCAGCAGTTTCTTTGATGCAGAGCAGGATCCTGGCTCTCAACTGGCAGAGCCACAGGACAGCATGAGGAACGGGCCGGACTCTAGCCTGGGCCAGGGCCAGTTCCCTGGGTGGCCCAAGGCTTGAGTAGAGCGGAGCCTCAGGTGTCCACTCAGGAGACCAGCTCTTTGGAAGGAGGTTGACCAAAGGAGCTGAAACGTGGCAGGTTTTCCATGGCTGGAGCGGGAGAGGCCACAGCACTGCTTCCTCTGGGTCCAAGCTCAGCAAAAGAGCCACACCAAGAATGAGCAGCCCAACAGCCCCGAACCTAGAATGGGGAGAAGGTGAAGGCCGCCCTCGCCCCCGGTTCTTGTCTTTTTCTCCTTCTTGAAGGCCTCCATGGATCTTCTGGCCATTAATCCAAGGAGGACTTTGGCCCAAGCAGTTGTGAGGAACCCAGGGCTCTCAGGGGGAGGCTGGATTACAATGCTCATCATCCCCATGCATTAGTTCCATGACTGGGGATGGTTGATGTCTTGTTCCATCCCCAAAGATGCAGCCCAGCCTAGAGAGCTGAGATCCAGCCTGCCCAGGGACCAATGGAACCACCCAACTGGCCAAAGGGAAAAGAGGCTCAGAGGGACGGAGCTGAGATCCGATGCACCCGAAGGACACTAGACTGGGCAAGGATCACTTTAGGGTGGGAATAGGCCTCACGCAGCCGAAACAGGCTTCGTGCTCAGAGGCAGCTGCAATGGCCCTACACCTTCCCAAAATGGCCTTACCCTGGCCAAGAGGACCCTTGACCAAGTGAAGGCAAGAGCGTCTGCACATGCTCTGGGGCCACTTCCCCTTCCCTCCCCTGACTCACTGCACATCAGGAAAGGCCCTGGCCAGGAAAGCCACTTCCATCTGGATGGCCGGCGTGTCTTCCAGCTCCAGGATCCCAGCCAGGTGGGGCACCACGGAGTCCAGCCAGGAGGAGGAGGATTCCTGCAGGAAAGGAGGGGAAAGCAGAGCCTCAAGGGGGGTTAATTCTAGGGCGACCCTCGCTTGTCCTCGAGGAGGAGGAGGGTTGCCGTGCCTCATCTGCAAGCAAACCCCCTCAGCAAGCGGCCTCTCTCCACTGACCCATGGAACCCACTCCTGGAGGAGGGGAACCAGAGTTCCCAAATACCTTTGGGAATTACAAAAGGATGCGACAAGTGTGCGCTCAGACTTCCCTGAGCTCTTCTGAGATCCCAGGAGACGTCTCCACCAGCCCAGCCGCCTTCTCCAGGGCACAGCATCCCCCTCCTTTTTTATTTCCAATTCCCTGGGGAGAAGGCCGTAGGGCAGGGGAACCCTGACTGCTGACGTCCACCCCTAAAGGAAGGCCGTGAGCCCCACTTCTCACCAGCTGAATGAAGAACTCCTGCAGCTGCTTGGCCTCGCTCCGGAGTCTGTGGGCCACTTTGGCTCTCATCTTGGACGAAGTGCAGATGATCCGCACTCGCATCAGCGGCCGGACGTACTCGATCAGCACCTGCCGGTGGACCTCCCTCACCAGCATCTGGGGGGGAGGCAAGGGGGGCAGATCAGGGCTGGCAGAGGACCAGGGCTTCTGGGCCTTGGGTTAGGCCACGGCTGGGTCTGAGGAAACCACCCAGGCAGGACGAGGCAGTTTGGGGGCAGCTTGGTTTCTCTTTGGCACTGGGCACGTGAGAGCTTCTCCGCCTGCCCCCCGTGGCGTCTCGGGCACAGAGGAGAACAGACTCCCGCAGGGCACCAGCTGCTGGGAGAGGGCGGCATTTGCTCCCTCGGACCGGCCTTTGTGTGGAAGGCCAGAAGAAACCCACCCAGGGTGGACATGGGCCTTTCTGGGCGCCCAACCTGGCCCTGACTGCGAGCCTCTGATGGCACCGAGGGAAGGATTTGCTTGAGAGGAGGGTCTCTGGTGCTCCCAGCACTTCCTTCCCTCACGCTCTCACCTGGTAGGGCTCCAGCTTCATCTGCCTCAGCCTCTGGGCGTGCTCCGCGAGGAGAGCCATGATGGCGGAGAAGGCCTCGGAGTTGTTGAGCCATTTCCTCTTCATCAGCTTGTAGAAGTAGGGCTGGCGGGGGGGGGGGCAGGGAAGGGAGAGGGTCTCAGATGCAGCCTTAGAGCAGGTCTGGGTCGAGGGCTTCCCTGGCTGAGTTTGCACTGAGCTCCAAGCAAAGCCCACTCATGACAGCCAACCCCGGGGGAATCCTCCCACTCATCCTTGCAGACCAAGTTTAAGGGTTAGGGTGCTATTGTGTCGGCCCGTCCAATAGGTCTGTTCTCAAAACATGGTGGGAACAAACCATGGTTTATGGGACATGCAATCCAGCCATCTGATTGGGCTCTCCGGGGGCTTAGGCAGAAAGGGGGCCAACAGCACAACCCTCCCTGCCTCCCCCTGCAGACCCCTCCTCCTTGCGGGCCCCGGGAGACCCTTGGGTTACCTTGAGGCTTTGGAAGAGGTGGTCAGCCAGCACTCGATTGCACAGCCGGGTCACTCGGTCAAGGGACGATCCTGCCAAGTGCTTCACGGCCTCGCTGTCCGGGTGACCAAACCTGGCCAGGTGCTCCAGGTAGTCCCTAGAAGAGCAGCCTTATCAAGCGAGCTGCGTGCGAATTGTGCAAAGCCAGCCGGGCTCACAACTGGGGGGGGGACACATCCTTTCCTGCCCATTTATTTCTGGAGGGGACTGAACTGGACCGATCTCAGGATGGGATGCACAGCAAAGAGGGCATCAGGGCCAGGGTTGACCACTCACCTGAAGGGGGGGCAGCAGTTGACCAGCATGATGGTCCGGCCCACGTAGCTCTCTGGGCTGAGGTTGCTGACCACCTGGCCTTCGTGAAACTTCTCAACTTTCTTCTGGAAACTGAAGGGGGCAACGAGGATGCCACTATGGAAGACCCTTTGCAGGCAAAGTGGTGAAGCCCCCCCTCCAAGGCACCTGTTTTGCCTGGCTATCAGCTCCACCTCCCAGCCCTGATATGGCCCCTCCAGCACAGGAAACCCTCTCCCTCCATTTTTGCAGCAATCCCGGATCAGAACCTGCCAAGTCAAAGAAACAGGCCCTCCCTCTCCACCCTGCAGGGGTTGGTTCACCAAAGACCCCCTGGACCCTTTGGCCACTTCTGGACTGCAAGAAGACACCCCACACACACACACTGTGGCAGCTGCGCTGGGGGGGGGGTCATTGCACACACAGCCACAGCCCTCTCTATAGCCCTCTTACCCCACCTGTGCTCAGGGACCCTGCGAGACGCCCCCCCCCAATGCACTCCATAGTGGCCCTGGAGACGCAGCTTCGATTCAGACAAACCACATCCACACTCGGAAGCCAGAGCTCTCTGAAAACAGGCATGTCAGGAAGCAGACCGCTAAAAATAGTCCCTGGCCGGGCTCTGGCCGTCCACCCCAGCATCCCTGACCGCCGGGCCCTTTGGCTCCACCTCGCTGGCATTTCCTTATAAATGGGCCATGGCGGCTATTTATACCCCAAGGTGAATGTATTCCTGGCGGCCAGTTTGAAATGGAAACTTTGTGTCATGATCCCCTTTAGCCCATCCAGACACCCCTCAAGGAGTGAGGGGGCGAATCGCCGGTCCTTTGAGGGTCCGGATGGGGGCAAAAGCCAGAAGTGCTCTCTGTGGGACTGCCTCTTGGCTTCCCCCCTGCCTTGGGCAGAGCAGCCCGTTCTGAGGCCTTCTTTGGAACAAGACCACCCCCAACTTTGCTTTTCCCCCATCTCTGCCCCTTGATGCAAACACGTGGCAACTGTGGTGAGCCCAGCCCGGGAAAACAGGAGGGCTGAGAAAGCCACTCACGCCTGTCCCACCTTGACCCATTCTGGTGCCAGAGGGAGGGGAGGAGACAGCATCAGGGGAAGGGCTGCCCCAGCTTTTCCTGGCTCTTGGGTCCCCACCGCACCCCATACGGGAAGAGAAGCCGCCAGGGCCAGGGCTTTGGTTTTGGAGAGGAGGCACCTCCCAGCTCAGCCAGAAAATACGCCGGGCTGGTCTGCATCCTGGCAGTAACATTTGAAGAAAAGAAAGCCAGGAGATGCCCCAGGTGTGATGCCCTAAGCCAGATTTCGCCCCTGAAAGACTGCTGGACCCTCCCCTAACAGAGGGCCTGGCTAGAGATGCTGCAGCAACTGGGGCCTCTCTTGTGCCCCATGCCCAGCTCCTTCCTGGGCAATACCTCTGCAAGAACTCTGCCAGGCTGGCAAGGCAGCAGTGAGCCACCCTTCTTCCAAACTCCTCCGTGATTTGGGGGGCTTTGTCGGCATGCCCCTTTAGCACCTGCAAGGCAAGAGAAAGACTCAGCAGCTCCACAAAGCCTCCCTGGAGATTTGGGGGGTGGGGCAGCCTTCTGGCCAAAAGGGCGAAGCTTCCTGTGGTGAGAAAGGGGTAAGACAGGCACAAGGGGCTCGGGTGAGGTACCCCCTTTGCTGCCAGGGCCAGCATGCCCTCCTCAGAGGGGCCCTTTTCACGCCTGGCCTCTGATGCTTATCTCTGCACTGAGCTGGTGCTCTCCAATGAGTTGAGCTGCAATTCCCATCATCCCCAACCAGCAGGGTCAGGCATGTTCCAGTGGCCCAGCACTGCAGACGAGGGACTGGGCACCCGGGTGAGGGGCAGAGGGAAGCTCCTGTTGCCCTGTGGGGTTTGTTGGGGAGACGATGAAGCTAGGGGGGGCAGTTCTGTGGGATGGATGTTTTGCCAGCCCCTCCAGGAAATCTCCAGGACAGAAGGAAGCCCAGCTGGGTTGCTCCCCTCTTCCAAATTAGGGCTGCATTCACACAGAATGCTAAACCCGGATTTTTTGGGGGGGCAGCAAGCTTTTAAGGCCTGGTCCACATACTGTGCTCAGCCACGGGGAAGGGGCACTTTCCCACAACACAAACCAAGGAGGCTCGGCCTTACGTCTGAACCCAGCCTAAGCCTTGCTGCCCAGGCTAAGCCAAGCCCTTGTCCAGTTGTTCAGCCAGGCCAACGGAGGGAGCTCCTCCTGGCTCCGGCTCCGAAGGGCCAGTCCAGGGCTGGAAAGCGGAGGGAAGCCTCCCGCAGTGGGTCTGGTGTGGGGCCATTTCCGGTGTGGGCTGAGCGTCCCGGAAGGAAGCTGCTGCCCGAAGCAGAAAAATAAAGGGGGGGGGGTAATGAGATTGCAGGGCAGGGTGGGGACCCCAACATACCAAGATGACTTTGCTGGACAAGCCGAACTGAAAGCTGTTCTCCTTGTCTTCCTGGGCCCACCTCTCTTCCTCCTTCTGCAGCTCCTGGCTCATGTCCCTGCCGATCACCACCTGCAGATGCACGGGACAGAGTCCACAAAGGGGGGCTCCAATGGGGGGGCGCCCATGGCTTGCAGCTTTGGGGATAGGAGGGATGTGGGGAGACCTCTTGAGGCCACCTAGCCATCTCTTTCCTCCCTGAGACTGGCCGGAAGGAGACTTTAGTGGCTGTATACCACTTTTATGGCAGAGCAGGGCTAGGGTGGTGGCCGTTTGGCCTGTCTGGAGCCTCAATGGGTTCTTTACCCCCCCCCCTGCCGCCGTTGGCCAGCTATTACCTTCACAGCGGCAATGCACTCCTCCTCCAGACTCTGCTGTGTTTCCGGGGACAGGAGGGGACCGAGCTCCTGGGGCTTGACCATAGGGGAGATCTCTGGCCGGCTGAGGACCTCCCTGTGGTAGGGGGAGGAGAGAGTGAGTGAGTTCCCGGAAAATCCAGGGTCCTCCATGGGGTCTGAATAGGGTCACCTTGCCAGCTCTGGCACAGAAGCAGCCAGGGCATCACCAGAGGGGGGGGGTGAGTTCTGCCATTGAAAAGAGGTTTGGGGGTGGATCCAGGCCCCCATTTCTCTCTGGGGGAGATTTAAAGTGCTGTGCCCTGAGTGCCGGAAGAGGCCCAGGGCATTTTGTGGGGCTGGAAACTTCCAGCTGGGCTGAATTACCATTGAGCTTGTAAGAAAATTCTGTACTGCGACTCCTGGTGCCTTACCTTGGCCACCCCCTCTTTGAAAGCGCTCCTCTCGCCCGCCCCCCCCCTACAAACTATATGCCAGCTGCCAGCCGGCATTCCCACTTGGGCCCCAGGAGGGTCCGTGCTGGGTGGGCAATCCTGCAAAGAGCCCAGGCCCTCCCCCAGCCTCTACCTCCCCCCCCCACTCCAAGGGGCTCTCATTGCCCACCTTTGGTAGATGTTGCTGTTCCAGTCCAAGACGAAGTAGAGCTCGGAGAGGCTCAGCTGCTTCTGGACCCCTTCGGCCAGGCAGCGGGCCAGGCCCCGGTGGTAGCTGCCCAGGTAGACACTAAAGGCCTGGTACTCCTCAGGGTAGGCCTGCAGCAGGTGGCGCTTGACGCTGCTCAGGTCCTCCACTGTGCACTTGGCCAGCCGGTCCATCCGGGTGGCAATGGTGCCCGCCCGGCCCTCCACACACTGGCACAGCTTCTGGCCCGCCAGCCGGTCCACTGCCTCGGCCCACCGCTGCCTCATCTGCCGGGGCCCCGGGCTTCCCGCAGAGCCTCCCTGGGCCTGGCGCCAGCTGCGGTCAGCCTCCTCCTCCTGCTCGATGACCTGCACCAGCTGCTCCAGGGGCGGGTAGGCGCTCTTGGCAGCCAGCGCCTCGGCCAGCACCGCCCAGAGCGCCTCCTGCAGCGCCTCGTAGAGCAGGGCCACGTCCTTGGCCTTCCGGCTGCCGTCCTTCCCGCTGGCCCCGCTGCCCCCCTGGGCGCACTCGGCCTCCAGCTCCATGATGTGCCCGTCGGCCAGGCGGAGCTCCCGCCGGTGGATCAGGTTGAGGATCTCCAGGACTGAGCGAGGGACACAAGCGGGAAGGGAGCCTGAGGCTGGGCAGGGGGGGCGGAGTCCCCCGCCCCCCTCAGGCAGGGAAGGGCCCAGAGGGGCTCTGTGCCCGTGAGCCCCCAAGTGAAAAAAGGCTGCGACTCTAATCAGGCCAAGAACCGACTCAGCAGAAGCAGCTCCCTCAAACCATAGATGGGCCGTGCAGGATCGGAGGGCGTGGAGAGACCCGGGCCCAGAATCGCCAAGAGCCGGACAGGGATGAATGGAGACCATCGTCGTGGACCTCACCCAAACCACAAAGACCGAGGGACGCGGCCACTGTGAACCTCTGGGTGCCTCCCCCGTTTTTAAGCAATAAAAGGGTGTTGAGGGCCAAATTTCTGGGAACAGCCGCTCTGGTGTCCTAAGTATTGACCATGCCCGTGGAAGCACAGCTGACCGGTGGAGCTGCGGATGCCTCCCCATGGACAAAGCAACTTCCCCCCAACTCCCGCTTGCATGCCTGAGGTGGCCCTCCTGAGAAGAGGGATCCATTGCCGGGGACCACCACTCTCACGACGCCCTGACCTTTCCTGTGTACCAGGGGTCAGTATCCAGAGGTGACCACAGGGAGGGGGTGGAGTAACCGGGCCAGTTGGCCTCCCGCCCTGGAACCAGAAGGGGCCTGGGTGGCCGGGGGGGGGGGCGGGGGAGAGGGTCCCAGGCTTCGTGCACATCCTCGGCTTGCAGGAAGTCCAGCACAGAACACCAGCCTTGTGAGGGTTTCAAGGCACCCACCGTCCTCATCGTCATCACAGGAAAGAGCCTTCCTCTCCGCAGCCTCGGAGGGCCGGGGGTCCGGCTGGGCTAAAAGCGGCCTCTTCCGTTTCCCTGCCCTCCGCCGAGGGGAAATGCCCCAGACGGGATGACGCAGTCGCCTGCCGCACAATGACCTGACCTTATCAGCTGAACGGCAGAGATCAGCTTGGGGGCTGGCAGGGGGCAGGGCCCTTTCCTTGCACAGTTTGATTCATGGGTGAACCTGGGAAATGGGGCTGCCCCACTCAAAAGGGGCGAAGCTCCCAGGTGCCCCTTCCGGGTCTCAGGCCCCTCTGAGAAGGGGGCTGTGGGAGGGGGCAGTTCCCACTCCATTTGCCCCTAGGCCCAAGAAACGACCAGGGACACCGACAGCCCTTCTTTCTCGCAAGCCCTGCCCAGTGTTCTAGCGCTCGGTCCTTGGGGTCTTTGGGAGAGTGAAGCTGCGAGAGACCCCCTCCCTCGCGTGGAGGATGCTCCCTAACTGGGCCATGCAAAGAAACCACCAGCTCGGAGAGCACCAAGACCCATCATCAGCCAGACGGAAGCTCCTTTCGCCCAGCCTTCCCCAACCTCCAAACAAGACTGGACTACAATCTTCCTTCCTCATCCCCCTCCCCAAAAGGGCCAAAAGGCTGGGCCAGGTAAAAACAATTGCAGGAGAGAAAAGGGCCGCGAGTGACAGAGGTGGAAGGGACCCCTTCAGCCCCCTGCTCCCCTCCAGACAAACGGGGCTGTCCCGTCTCTTCTTAAAACTTCAACCCAAAGAAGGCAGGCTAAAGCAGCCCCAAGAGCCCCTCAAGCAGCCCTCGGGACCCCCAAGGAAAGCTTCCGACTGTGTCCTCCGAAGCCCTCATGGCTGTGCAGCCCGAGGAAGTTTCCCAAAGCCCCCAGGTGGGCTTCTCACATGCCGAGGTACCAAGTGGGCCTTGGGGGGAGGGGTTCTTCAGCCAAGGAGTTCAGCCATCCCCCCCCCTCCCGAGTGCTTAGCCGTGATTGGTGGGTGAAGTCTAATGGCACCAATAAGCAAGGTTTGAAATACCAGCACGCCTGGCCCAGGCATGAGACCACCACGTGCCTGGGATTTGCCTTTCAGAGGAATTATGAAGGGGGCAATGAACCACAGGTTTGGGTGACCCCTCATCTCCCCCCCCCCCGCCTTGCCAATTGGGGTGCCACTGGCTGCTTCCACTCCCTTGGGTGGGAGAAGGCTGCCAGGCTCCCACGTTCTGGTGGATGGCTGGGGGGGGGGGGGCTTCTGGTCAGCAGCTTTGAGGTCTTACCTATCTGGACAGAGCTGCAGCTTTTAACTGCATTCGAAGAAGAGGGGGAGGCAAGTCACAGCCTGCCCCCTGCCTGAGGGCTTCCCCTTGTCTGTTCTGGGGGGGGGGGTTCCTCAGCATCACAGGCAGAGAGAGCAGCTCTGCGCTGGTCTCAGGTGCTTTTTTGGAGAGGGAGGGCCGAGTGGGGCCTTTTGGGGCGCACTGAGTACAGGAGGTGTCTCCCCCTAGGCAGCCTGGCCTTCCTCTCGCCTTCTGCACTCGGTGCTAGCCCCTCTGCTGAGCCCAGCTAGAGGAGGGCCCTGGGCACCATAGGGAAACGGGCAGGGATCACTCGGGGAGGGCTGGCATAGCCTTGGCTTTCGGGAAGGAGGGCGCCACCGCTAACAGATCCAGCCCTGGGCCTCCGGGAGGGGGAGGAAGGGTCTTTCCAGAGGCTGGATGGCTTCTGCCCATGCTGCCCCCTCCCCCAGCGTCTCCTTCTGCTCTTGGCAACTTCTCTGGGAAGGTCACAGGCCGCGGCTCAGGAGACGCTCCGGCAATCAGGCACTGAATCACGGCAGGGGAACAATGGGCCCGAGGCCCACAAAATATGTGCGTGAAGGGAAGAGAAACTCATTAGCTGCAGCGCTCAGGAGCTGATAAGCAGCCTGGCCACGGTCAGAGACGCCAGGGCCCCTCCTCCCCTCCGTCCTGGGGGGGGCTGGGAAGGGCCACTTGGACAGCCAGCCGTCGCCCCTGGGAAGGCAGAGACCCAGCGCTGGAGAGCAGGCAAGGGGTCCCCAGGCTCCTCTGGCCTGGGCATCACAGCCGCTCATAGGGGACCCCCAGGATAGGGAAAGATCCATGGCCAGCCTCTCGGCACGCCTGGGGGGACACCATGTGATCGTAGCTGCACTGAAGTTTGAAGCTGCCCCTCCTGCTAGCAAAGCTACTCTTTATGGGTGCCCTCCCTTGGAAGGAAGGGGATCTTTCTGGGTTTTTTAAATTATGACAATCGAGCCCAAAATTTATGTTGTTAAGTGAGTCACTTGTTGAGTGAGTTTGCCCCATTTTATGACCTTTCTTGTCTCAGTTGTTAAGTGAATCTCTGCATTATGAGTTAGGAACCCTGTTGTTCAACGAATCTGGCTTCCCCTTTGGCTTGGCTTGGCTTGGCTTGGCAGAAGCCTTGGACACACGAAGCCCCCGGAGGGTCTGAGGCTTCCTGGACAGGCTGTTTGCCCCAAAGTGAGCCGGCCTGTTTGGATCATGGCTGGCCCACCTCCGGCAGCTGCTCGCTTGGGGCAGGACTCCTCGGCCTTCCCAGACATTTCCCTGTACAGGCAGGCAGAGCCGTGCATTGCAAGGGAGGTTGCTCTTCAGACCCCCCTAGACCTAAGCTAGCCATCGGGACGCCCTGGCATCCTCTCCAGGACCCCCAGAGGGCTTAGCATGCCGGAGTGCCAGGAGGGAAGGTGGGTGCCGCCTCCGTGTCCGCTTTGGCCAGGCCGGACTCACCTGAGAGCGGTTCCTTGGGCTTGGGGTCGTGCTTCTCGCCCACTGGGGCCGTCTCCGAGCCCTCCGTCTGGTTGAGCTTCTCCACCAGGGACGCCCGGCGTACCTTCCCGCCCAGCCCGATCTTCAGGAAGGAGCCGCGCTTGGCGGCATCCCCACCACCGTTCTCCTCCGCCAGGCCGCCGTCCGAGCTGTAGAGGCCCTCCTTGCGGCGCGCGTTGAAGCGCTGCATCAGGCTGAAGTCCTCTGAGCAGCGACGCAGCTTCTTTGGCACCCGCTGGCCCAGGTTGCCCTCCATCAGGGGCAGCATCATGCGCTCCAGGAAGGACCGCCGGTCGGAGCCCTGCTCGCCCCCAGGCGACCGCTTCTCCCCACTCTTCCGGCCCTTGCCCAGGCGGAAGGGGCTCAGCCCCACCAGCTTCTCCAGGGTGGCCCGGCGCCTGAAGCGGTCCTCGGGGCTCCCGCTGAAGACACCCCTCTCCAAGTCCCCCGGGAGGGACCTCTCTCGGCCAGGGGAGAGGCCCCCGAGGAAGGAGTCCCTCTCCTTCTCCTCCAGGTCCTCCTCGAAAGGGTTGGTCCCCGGACTCTCCTTGGCTAGGATCAGCGTCCCGCTGCGGCTGCCACCCCGCCCACGCTCTCCGGGGCCCCTGCTGGCCATCTTGAGTTGATAGGGGTTCTTGAGGACTGGCATGGCGGCTGCCTTCCCTGGGACCTGCGGAGAAGAAGGGACGCTCAGCCATCGCTGCTGGGAATCGCACGGATGCCCTCAGGAGGGCCCACTTGATGCAAGAGATCTGGGAAAGGACATCCCAGCCCCCCTCCCAATTCTGGAGCCAGATTCAGATAGGGGGCCAGGGGGCCGATTGCTTTGAATCAGCCATTCATTGGCTGTTTACTCAACCTACTGGGCCATAAAAGGAGGTTTATAATTGACAGCCCAAAGCAAGGGGACACCCTGGACATATTTGCTTCCCCATTCGAAATGGGGACTTTGCTTTGCTGTTGGGTTAAAAGAAGAGGGAGATGCCCCCTTCACTGGAAACCCCCTGGCAGCAAAGGTCCTCGGAAGAGGACGGGAAAATTTCCATGCAAAGAATTTTGGGGACATTGCAAGTGTGGGGTGAGTGGAAGGAAGACCAGAGGATGGAGGAGGACATGCAGGTAGGCAGCAGAGAGGCCCACCTGGAACCCCACAGTGGCCCCCACAGAGGGGAGAGCCAGAAAAGCTACGTAGGGAGAGATGCCACCCGGTCACTCCGGAGCAGGACTGTCAGCTGAAATGGACCGGCCAAAGTGCTGCTCTATCAAGGATCACCTTGACAGCCCAGAGCTGGATGGGGCTCTCCCCACCCACCCCCCTTGGCCCAGGGGGTTTGCCACCCCCACTCTGGAAGCTGCCCTTGGCATGGCAGGTAGCAAAGGTGAGAGGTGGAAGCTCCACCTCCCATGGAGTCCTGACCCACAGAAGCAGCAGGGAAGGCATCAGGCACGTCGCTTGTTGCTTTGCTCCCCACTTCTGTGCAACTGCCCCCGAGAATGGAAGTGGGGCCTCCCCCTAGGGAAGAGGTTCCAGCAAAGGGTTAGGGGGCAACTTGGGGCAGGCCAGCGTTCTTCTTCTTCTTCTCTTCCGCATCCCTTGCCAAGTTAGGAACAGGCGAAAATGCCCAGTTGGCAGAACCTCTGCAAAGTGATGACCGGGCCTCCCAGTGAAGGGGCTCCAAGCCAAAGTGGGAGGATCTGGACTCACCCTCCCCAAAAGACCACCTTTAGAACCAGCCTTTCCAGATCTGCTGGACTACAACTCCCATCCTTCTCCTCCAGCACATCTGTTTTGCCCTGGGCTGGGGGGAAGGCCAGGAGGTGCTCTGGCTTGTCCTGCAAGGGAGGGAGAAGGAGGAAATTTCTCCCCCAAGGAAGCCCCAGCATTTGCTGGGGGAGGGAGCAGCCTCCAAGGAGCCTCTCTGGATCCCCAGGCTGCCAAGAAGGAGGCTGTCTCCTTGCCTTCAAAAACGGGTCATGAGTGGCCTTGGGGTGGTCTTAGAAGGTAAATCCACACATTCACTGCCTTGTCCAGTAAATTTCCAGCAGGTTCAGCTACAAGGCCGGCTTTGGGCAGATGTGATGACCTTGGCAGACCTGAGAAGGGAGGCTGCAAGGGAGCGGTCAGATAAAAGGCAACGGCAGGAGTGCGGGCAGGGCAGGCAGCTCAGAAGAGACCCTCCCCAGTTTCTCAGACTGCAAAAGGGGTGGGGGGGGGTTGGGAAGAGATGCACTTCCAGGCTTCCAAGATTCGATTAATGTAACTTTACAATAAAATAGAATTAGCTCATCCAGCCAAGTTACCTGTGTGGTCTACCTCGCAAGGCTGGCAGCAGCCAAGGCTAAGAAGGGGAAGCTTTTGCACCACTTGGCCCCCTCCTTTGGATCTGTGCAGGCAAGCTCTGCTCCCGGGTCTGAGTTGGAGACCCCCAATGCCAAACACAGATGGGTGGGCCAGAGAGGGAGGGTGCCTTGACAAGCAGCTCCCCTGCCAGGCACTTCAACGGGAAGGAGTCTGCAGAGAGACTGGCCAGCTGCACCAGAGCGATGGAGGTGCCCTATTTTGCACCCAGGTTCCTCTCCAGCCACCCCCAGGAGTTCCCCATCACGTGCCTCGCTAAGCAGTTAAGCAACCTACAAGAAGGGACAATCCCAAATAAGTCCAAAGCCAAGCTGGGTCCACCGAAATGCCGAACCGGTCCACAGTCAGAGCCAGCCAGCGCTGGCAGCAGGGCACCAGGCACCCCACAGAGCGTCTGCACCCTCTGCCAAGCCCAAATCAAGCCGGCCACGTTGAGGGGGCCCGAAGGTAAGAACCCAAATGCCCTTGCAAAGACTGCAGATGTGGCCATGCCGATCTTCCGAAGCAGGTCTGCCTTGCCCTTTGGATCCCGGAATGAGGGAGGAGACCCCTCTCTTGAGAGCGATCCCCGAAGTCTGAGTGGTTTCAGATGAGATCACCCTGCCCCTGGACGAAAGGGGACGGGGAAGGGATCACCCTGGATGCAAAGGGGTGGAACCCACTGGGGTCCCCGGAAATAATCCTTCCTTACGGCCAATCCTGGATCTTAAAGAGAGGTAGAACTGCAAATGCTCAGAGAAGGCCGCAAGTGACTCAGTGTCTGGGGAAAGGCCCCCCAAGTAGAAAGCAGAGAATTTAGCGCCCCCAGCAAAAGAAAAGGCAAAGGGGGCAGGGGATGAGAGAGGGAAGCACTGTGGGGGGATGGGAGAGATGTGCGTCTCCCTTTTTTATATGCTCAGAAAGGATTGGGGAGACCACATCCATCTTCAGCATTCTCCCCCCCCAAGGATGGGACGGGGGACCCTCAGCCAGGGCCGTCCAGAGGGGGCTAGACCAGCTCAAGGCAGAAAAGGCTTTGCCAGGAGCAAAGAGAAGTTCGGGAAGGGCCAGGACGAGGCTCAGCCCTCTGCAAGCTTCCTTTCATCTGGGCTCGGACCCTGGTCTGGTTCCTGCCGGGAGGGAAATAGGGACCCCACCCTCTGCCTGACCCTCCCTCCCAAAGACAGTAGAGGAGTCCCGGTGGGCTTCCCTTAAACAGCCTGCCTTCCTCTGCTTCTAAAGGAAAAACTGCCAGCAACGGAGCTGCTGTGCCCCCACCACCACCCCCAGGAGCCCTGCCAGCCACAAGCTGGGGGCAAACTCAGATGAGGATGATGAGGGTAACTTCTTCGGTTGGCAGGGCTGCCCATCTCACCCAAGCGACTCTGGGCAGCTCAGAGAGAAGCTTCCCCCTTCCTGAGGACCCCCCCTCCCGAAGAAAAAAGGTGGCACCAGAATGCAGCTCCCCCCCTCAGGAAGGTTTGCCCAAATTACCCCCAAAGTCTGCACTGGGTAGAAAAGGAGTCAGGGGTTTCCCAGGGTATAAACTGTAGGATGGCCACTCCCCCCCCAGCCCCCCCAGCACATGCATGGAAGCCACAGCCCCCCACCCAAAGGAAAGCCGGGGGGAGACAGTCCCTACCTTGCTGCCTTCCCTCCTCTCGGGTGGTCTGGCTGCTCTGGGCAGCCGGGCTGGGGAGGCCGAGGAGCCTTGGAAGGAAGCCCCTCCCAGCCCCGCCAAGCCGGAGGTGATTCGGAGCAGGCGGCCTTATGTAATCTGGAGGATCTTGTGACTCTTCTCCTGTGGGTCTGGGCAGGGGCAGGGGCAGGGGCAGGGAGGGCGGGGGTCACACTCAGGCGGAAAACAAGCCAGGAAGTCTCAGGCTCAGCAGGGCTGGAGCTGGGAAAATTCCAGCTCTGCCAGGCAGGAGGGGGGAGGCCCACGGCAGATGCCCTCCACCTGCCTCCAGAATGGGCGATTGCAGCCAGGTACTTGTTGGGGGGGGGGAGTCGGGGAGTGGCAGATACATCCCCCCCCACCTTCTTCACCCTCCTCCGACCTAGAGGCCAGTTTGGCACTCTTTTATTAAGCTTGGGATGATTGTTATGGTTTGGGCTTAGCATGTACGGGCTGCTCATCCAGGATCATTTACAAGCCAGGATTCAGAATATAGCATCATACAGGTAATACTCAACACAACCACAACTGAGCCAACATTTCTACTGCTAAGTGAAACATTTGTTAAGTGAATTTTGCCTCATTTTAAGACCTTCCCTGCAGCAGTTGTTAAGCAAATCACTGCAGCTGTTATTAAAAGTTGTTAAGTGAATCTACTTCCCTACTGACTTTGCTTGCCAGAAGGTCGCAAAAGGGGATCACGTGATCCCAGGACGATGCAACATAACTAAATGAACTATTGTGTAAGTCGAGGACCACCGGTACATGAGTCAAGTCAGTTCCCTTTTTTTAAATAGACCGTGGTTCAACAAAGCCACGGGTTGATTAGGATAAGCAGATCTGTGGTCTGGCACAGTGCCTTTGCCAGCCTCTGACCTTCGATGCCTGAAGTCCCCAACCTCTGAACTGCTTATGGGGGTTAAGGAGGCCTGACCAATTCTGGGCAGTGGTCTCTGTCTTCAGCCGCTCTCGTGCCTTCTGCTGGAGAACCTTCTGCTGATAGACCCCCACCTGAACCAGGGAGCAAAAGGGCGAAGCCGGGCTCGCCACCCACTCCCAAACTGTCTCCAGGAGGCCTGATGTATGCAGGCCCAGAACCCAGGGCCTGCAGTAAGGCCCAAAGGTGGGGACTCCATCCATCAGCCCAGGCTGGCTGCCTCCTCCACCTTTGTTTCAGCTGCCCTTGGTCCTTGGTCCGGCCCTGCCCCCTGGCGGCCATCGCCTCTTCTTCAAAGGGCTGACCCCAAGGCAGCAACTTTCCCTCCAAGGAGCTTCTTTGCTGAGGGCAACGCTCTGGGGCTGCCTTCAGGCACGGGGCCCACTGAACCCCACTTCTGGGCCCCACCCAAAGGGAGCAGCTGGAGCCTGGCATCCGGCACCCATTTGTGCAGACCCATAGCTCTGGGGCACAATGGGGCCTCTTTATGGGTGCTGTGCTTGGGGCTGCCCTTAGGAAATATTTGGAAGCCACGACTATAAGCCCAAGAGGACCCTCACTTCTTTGGCCTGTGGGGATATGCGCCCCTGGGGGGAGCCCTCTGAAGGGCATCTCTCCTCTGGGGGCGGGGTTCTCTCTGTCCGTGGGGGGGGGATGCCCCCTTCCTGGGCATCTCTTTCCTTCTGCTTCCAGGAAGAGGCAGGAGCGTCTCCTGTCTGGACTTTCTAACAGCCCCTTTAACTCTTTCCATTTCCGTTTTGTTTGGGGCTGCTGGCTGGGCAGAAGGGCACCGCGTAGCCCGGCATCGCAGCAGCCGCGCACCAACGCTGGCCGCCCTGCCTGCTAACCGGCCCAGCCAGGGGGTTCTGGCAGCAACAGGGGGGCTTCGGGGGAGGAGACAGCCCACCTCCCCAGGTGCTGCCTTCTAAGCCATTTCCTCGGGCTTCCGTGTTTCAAGGCGGAGGAAGCGCTGCCGGGCAAGAAGGGGGCGGGGCGGGGGGCTGCCCATAGAAGAGGGCGGGGGGGACAAGCCACCGGTCCCTCCCTGCTGATGAGCTCCGGGCAGAGGCCGCCCCCCACCACGCCGCCCATCAGCCCCGGCCAGTCAGCTCGGGAAGCCCCTCTTCCTTCCGGGGCCCCGCCTAAAGGGCGGAGGCTCAGAGCCTTTCGGGAAAGCCCCCCGGGTTGCATCGGGTCGCGAAGCAACGGCTCCAGCCCGCGCAGGGAGCGGCGGAGTACCGGCGACCGCCTCTGCGGAAGCATTCGGCTCGAATGCTGAGTTGCGCCTGCGCAGAGTCGCCTCCCTCGTACTTCCGGCAAGGCAGGCAAGAGTTAAGGGCTGTGCTTGACGGACATCGATTGGCTGTGCATTGTGCCAATAGAAAGCGCGGGTGAGAGCCGCTCGGCCTCCTCGGAGGAAAGGGGCGGGCCGGCCGTTCTGTCTCCATGCCGCCTCGCAGCCAATCAGGGCCGGTGCCTGGCCGCTGCGTGGGCCCTGCAAGGCGGCGGGCAAGGCGGGCATCCTGCGGGCGAGGGTGGGCGTCCCCCGGAGACCCCCCTCCCCGCGTGAGCCGTGGGGCTGCGGGCTGCCCACCCTCCTGGCCGACTTTGCGGGGGGCGCTTAATGGGCGGTGTGTGTGTCTGTGTGTGTGTGTCGTGAGCCGGAGCTCGGTCGCCGCCGGTTCAGTAAATCCCGGCGGCTCGGCCGCAGAGACCGATCCGTCCGTCCGCGCAGTCCGTGGGGATCCCTGCCGGGCTGCGCTTCGTATTTCGAGGGATGCTGCACAATCGCCGTCCCTGCAGAGAAGCTGCTCCCCCCCCCCGGCTTTTCCCTCTGCGAGCTGCAGCCAACGGGCACCTTCGCCCTCTTCGCTGGCCGGTGGCAAAGGTGAAATGCCAGCCTGGACATCCGCGGCCCCCACTCAGATCGCGGCTGCCGGTTGGAGGCTGCAGAGGGTTGCGGCTGTGCACGACCCAGACAAACCGGCCTGGTGAGGAGCCGCCCAGGAACCCGGGTCTCCCCTGCCCTCCGCATGCCACACGTTTCCCACACGGAAGGGCCGCGGCTGGAGGCGGAGCTTCCCACGAAGGCCGGGCAAGGTGAAGACCCGGGACTTGAGCTCCCAGCGGTGCTGGCTGGGGGAGTATGGGATATGAAGTCCCCAGGTCTTCACCTTGCCAGGTGGACAGCCCTGCTTGAAGGAAGCAAGCCGCACACAATTTCCGTGCTTTATTCTCCTTCGAAGACCTTTACGCGCCTCTGCACGGGCGTGCCGACCTAAGACCTTTAATACATCACGTATAATCTATCCCAGGCCACCCTCGGAAAAACATGACCGGGAGACTGGCCCAAAGCCTGGAATGGCCACGTAGCCCACTGACGGGCGAGGGTAGGATGCAAGCAGGCCGTTTTGTTCCGGCCCCGCCGTGAAGTCCGAGCCGGTTGCCATGGCCGGTCCTTCGCTTCCACCCTGGCCGGAGAAGAGAGCAGACTGCCTCCCCTCCCAGGATGGGCAATCACGACCTGCCCCCCAAGGCTTTCTTCCTCCTCTCCTGCTCACCCGGTCTCCTGGCCGGCTGTGCCCAGGGGGGAGAAACCGGGACAGGCTAGGTCGGAGCTCCACGGACACCAGTGTCCAGCAGCCTTCGCCTGGCTCACCCTGCCTGGAGGAAGCGCCTTCTCAGGACAGCACACAGTCGCCAACTGCCCGGGAGAAGGGAATATACACCCCCCCGCCCCTCCCCCCCAATCGTAGGTCCTCGGTGAGAAATCCCGTTGCATCTGAACCGGCCTCTCCGCCTGCGGCTCAGAATCAAAGGGCAGCTCTTCCTCCTCCCTCTGGTTGCCCGGCTTTCGGCCTCCGCGCGCGCTCCGAAAAACATCCTTCCAGGTCGCTGCGGCTTTTCAGGGACCAGAAAGCGGCGTGACTTCGGGAATAGCAACCGGACTACGCCGGCTGGCCTTGGGAGCTGCTTTTCCCGCTGCCTGAGCCCCCGGCGGCCTTCCCGGCCCAGAATCGTCCTTCGGGCGGCTTTAAGCAGCTCGGGGGCGCTTCCTGCGCCTGCCGTGTGTCGTCTACCCGGTCCGGCCTCCTCTTCGACGCCCTCCTTCCTTTCCCCGTTCTCCCTTCCTCCCTCCTCCTCCTGCGCGACGCCCGCCTCTCCGGCCGCCCGGACCAGCCGCTGCCTCGACCCAGCGGCCGATGCCGGCACCTCCCTCCATGGATCCGGATTCCCCAGGCAGCAGCCCCCGCTGAACGCGCCCCGCCTGGCCGGGGGGGGGCTCAGGAGCCGCTCCGGGCGACGGGGGGGGGCTTCCCGGGACTCGCATTGCGTCCGCTTCTCTCCTCCTCCTCCCCCTCCCCCCCAGCGCGGGGACGCAGCCACATGGGGGGTGGCAGGAAGCGCCGCTACCCCTTCCTGCCTGCGGGGAGAGTGCGGCGGCCGGGCCGGGCACCGAGGCGGCAGTGACGGCGAGCGAGAGGCGGCGGCCGAGAGCGGAGTGTCCCCGGGCCTGCCTTCGCGGCGGCAGCCCCGCCACCCACCCCCCGCCCCCATGGCCCCCCGAGCCGAATAGGCGCCGCTCAGCCGCGTCTCCGCTCAGAGGCGCCCCCGCCGCTCCAGCCGCCTCCCTTCAGCCCCCCCTCTCGCCCCTCGCCCTCCGAGCGCGCCGGGGCGCATGAGTGGCCGCTTGGGGGAGGCAAGCGGCCGTCGTCGCCCCCGCCGTGTCCGGGCTTGGACACCGGGAGAAGATGTCTTTGCGCATCGCCCTGGCGGCGGGCAACGAACGCAATTCCGAGCCGGTGAGTCTTCCGCGGCGGCGGCCCCTCCTATCAACCGGGGCCGGACGAAAGCCGGGCTGGGTCGGGCGGGCGCTGCAGGGAGCCCGGCGTTGGCGGCGGGGTTGGCAGCGCTTCCGCGCCGGCTCGGCTCCCCCGCTCCGGGGCGAGGGTGGGGGGTCGGCGCCGGGACCCGCGGAGCGGAACACGAGCAGCTCGGGTCTCCCGCGGGACCGAGCCTCAGGGCGGAGATCCCCCCGTTGGGCCGGCCGCCGGCGCTCCGCGGCTTCCCAGGCAGGCCCGCGAGGGGGCCGGAGCCCTGGCGGAGGTATTAGCGGGCCGGGAGGTGGGCCTCGCCGGGGGCCAGCGGAGGGGCTTCCGGTGAGCGGCCGAAGCGAGGGGCAGCCCGCAGCTCCCGGCAGTGACTCTGCTGCTTTTGCCGCGCTGCGTGCGGCCTCGCCCGCTACAGCCCGGGGGGGGGGAGGCAGGAGGCGGCAGGCAAGCGGTCAAAGGGGGTCCTTTCCGAGGGGCTGGGAAGCGGGTCTCGGCCGGAGATCTCGATGGCCGCCCCAGCACCCTCGGCTGCCCGAAGGAGTGCCCCAAAGGTGGGCAGTGGTCTGCAGGCCGAGCCCCCCCAATTCTCTGCATACTTCCCCCCCCCCCAGGCTTTGGTCGCCTCCACAGACACCCAGGAGCTCCTTACTGTCCCGGAATACTCTCCCCGGGGAGGGGATGTCCTGAGTGCAGACCTGCTTGCTCGTTATTTGGTGTCCCCGGGGTCTCTGCCCAGCTGTTTCCAAAGGAGAGAAACAAGGAGTATTCTCCCCCCTCCGCATCATTTAGTCTGAAGCATGTGTGTTTGTGCCGGCCCTTCTTCTGTGGGGCTTCCTCTCAGAAAAGCCTACACAACATGCCATTTTCAGGACTTCATGGGGGCCCTTATAAGTTGGCTCTTTCTTGATGTGTTTGTAACCAAACTGCCTGACCAGGTTTTGCCAAAAGACGTTAGAAGCAAGCCTCTGTGTCCTTGGCCAGGCAGAATGGCGGGTGTGGACTCTGAGTGTCGTGTGAATGCCCGTGCCTTGCGCTTTAGGTGCTGCCTGGATCAACCTAGCCAGTCCCCCCCCCCCCCGAGGCTGAGCTACTTCTACCTGTTTGGCTGCATCTGGATTTGTGCCCCTTGTCAAGGGCTGTCCAAGTGGGGGAGACTGTCAGCAAATAGTCTCTGGGGTTTTGAGGGGAAGGTGGGTGCAGGCCCTAGTTTTGCCTCTGACAATTCCTAGATGCAAAAAGGCCCTGGGCCCCAGAGATTCTCAGGGCCACCAAGCACAGACTTTCTCCGCTGTTGATTGACACCCTAGCAACACTAGCAGGCTATTCTGAAGCCGTGTGGGACTCCAGTTGCAGTGGGCGGGTGTATTTATGTCTGTGCGACAAAGGATGTCACCTCTTTTCATGCTGAAATCCCAGCTTCCTGTCGCATCTCCTTCCGCGTGCTCGTGGACTCTGCTCACCCACTTGGGAGGGGGCTGTTTCCAGCCTCAGTGCCCCCACCTCCCCGTGCTGGTCCTTGCTCGCTTGCCCCCCCCCTGCCCCACGGCTGCTGTCTGCCAGGCCTTCCTTGGCTCAGGCCCCACCCTCTCTGCCGCCGCCACTGCTGTCAGCCACATCACCAATCACCAAGGCTTCCTGAAGAGTGCCGCACCGCTGTGTTGCCATGGCAGCGAGGTCCTCACCATGGCAGCCAGCTAGGCATCGCCCCTAGCACCTGCGTCCATGGCCAGTAGCTGTCAAATGACCAGGGTGCCTCTGAGCATGTGCTGAGAACTCCTTTGGCCTGCAGGTGAGCAATGCAGCCTGCCCCTACCTGCCTGGGCCTGGGAGTTCCGGGTGTGGCTCCAAGCAGCTTCAGCCCAGCAGCTCACTCAGATCAAGGAGTACAGAAAGTGTGAATAACTGAGTGAGACAGGAGGTGCCATCTTGCTCGAGAGCTCTTTGCCAAACCAGTTCAGGGGGGGGCGCCTCCAAACAGGGCCAGGCAACTGCAGCTCCTGGTAGCCCAAGCCAGTGAACCCAGTGAAGAACAGCTGGAAGGCCACAGGTCCTGCCTGTTCAAAGCCACGAGTCCCCCTCCCTGCCACGAATGCCCCTTCCCCAAGCTTCCAAGGGACACCCAGAGCTCTGTACGAAGCTGGTGTGGAGGGGAAGCTGCTGCCCCTGGCCCCACGTTACACCCTTGAGGAGAGCGGCGGCTCCAGAGTCCTGAGACTTCGGTCATGCCAGGTTGGCAGAGACTGACAGGCACCATCTCCTGCTTTGCAACCTTGAGATTCCGAGCTCCCTGCCTTCCCCATGGCCTTAGCCAACAGCTTCTCCTTGTGCGGCTGGGCCTTGAGGAGGCTGGGCTAGAGAACATCCCCCCCCCCAAGAGTTGGTCCCGGGCTGCTCTGTGCCTTCTGGAGGACCTGGTTGTTGTAAACAGCCCTGGCTCAAGGGGGATGCTACACCCTTGGTGTGTGGGCCTGGAAAGTGGGCGTGGATCCACCCCTGTGCAGGCTTTCCCTGCGGGCGGCTGTCTAGGTGTGCCCCAGCCTCCCACCCCGAGTGGGACGCTCACCCAGTTGGGGAGCTCCTCCGCCATTCCGGTTTCCCCTGAAAGAGCAGCAGCTGCTGGCTCTGTGACTCTCGGAGATGAGGTGTCAGGGCAGGGCTGCTTCCTGGATCACCTGGGCTCTCCTCTGTTGTTGTTGTGATGATCTTCCTGGATTAAAAGTTAATAACGTTTGGGGCTTCCGGGGAGTGAACGACTTGCCAGTTTGACAGAAGCCGCTGCTGAGCGAAGGTGCTGCCCTGAGTCCCAACTGGGTCCGGGTGCTTCAGAGAGCCTCCCACGGTCCCGGGACCTGCGCTGCCTCCCTGCCCGTGAGTAAACCTCGAGGGCAGCCTGAGGCTTGCAGATCTGCTCTCCGGCTTGGCTTTTGAGAGATGTGGAGCCCATGAGAGCCACAGAGGTCTGGCTGGAAATGAGGAGGTCCAGATTTGCACGCAGAGTCCCGCTTGGATCTGGGGAGAGAGGCCAGGTGCGCTCTGGGGCTCAGTCTGGGGCTGGTGTGGGTGCTGTGGGGGGCCCTTCTTCGCCAGACCAGGGAGGATGTTGGCCCTCCCGCAGGGTCCTGCCAGGGTTGGCCCTTGAGAAAGGAGAGGGGTGAGAAGCTGGGAAGGAAGGCTGGTCTGCTAACAACTTTCCCCTGGACCCCATTAGAAAGGAAGTCGTGGGGCAAAGGACCCAGAAAGGAGCCTCCGTTAAGGAGAGCGGTAGGGAAAAACAAACCAAATTTTCAGCAGTTTAAAGGTAGTAATCTAAATTGGAATGTTAGCAAGCAAAAGCTGTATAAAAATACAGGGAATGAGTAGTTACAGTTTATTTGTTATGGATTTGTTAGATTACTATCCTGGCTTTCGTCCAAGAGCTCCAGATTTTTTTACAACAACCCCGTGAGGTAGGCTGGAAAAGCAGGTGAGAGAATCACCCAGAGGATTTCCGTGGCTGAGGGTGGTCGTGGGACCGAGTGGCACTCCACCTCCCTGGCCTAAGGCCACACTGGCAGCGGTCTGACCTTCAGCCTCCTGGCTGGCTTCCTTTCCCCCACCTGTACTGGGGGAAGGGCAATACAAGACTCTGGCGAAGGCTTTCTCTTCGGATTGACTGGGGGCCAAAACCTTTTGGGGCTGAGGGTGCCAGGGCAGCTGCAATCCCTGGGCTGAAGGCTCTGGACTCCACTGGCCTTGTTCCAACTGACCCCCTTCTGGCCTGCTTAGTGACTGAAAGAGGGAACTGGCACTGAAATTCCTCGAGTCATGGTTGGTTTTACTGCAGCCTAGAACCGGCTGTGTACCCAGCACCCTTTTTTTCATGATGTGCCCAGGTTTTGCACTTGCCTCGAGCAGGGGAAAGGGGGTGTCCAAAGGACGGCAGTGTTTTGCACGCCTCAGGCATTCCAAAAGGTCCCCCCCCTGGAGTGAGAGGATCTACACAACAGGCACACACCAGGGGCACCGCCACCCTGCCATTTCCATTTCTTTGAAGCATGCAGTGCTGTTTTCCAGTGCATTATTGATGAGTGCTGAAGAGGGGGGCCGCTGTAGCCCCTCCCTCCTCCCCTTGCCCTGCGCACTCACGAGAAGACAGGCAGCGTTCCTGGGCATCCCACAATGCACCGAGGCATTCCTGCACCGAGGAAATGCAGGGAGCTTTCCAGCAGGCCTGTGTCCAGCTCCCCCCCCCCCCCGCCCAGCTGCCCAGGGAAGGAGAGTCCTCTGAAAGCTTTCTCTGGAGGAGGCCTCCTTGTTCCTCACCCCCCTGCTGAGGAGGCCAGCCAAAGTTTCTGACTTTTGCGCCCCCCCCCCACCTCCTTGGCTCCAGTCCTTGCCTGGTCAGCTGCACCGGGGGGGGGGGGCGCTCTCTGTTCTTTCCTCCCCAAGAATCCCCCTTTAGACATGGGGCCAGAAAGAGATGAGCAGCAGCAACTTCTCTCTCGAATCAGGTAGAAGGAAGGAAGGAAGGAAGGAAGGAAGGAAGGAAGGAAGGAAGGAAGGAAGGAAGGAACAAAGGAATCAAAATAGAGCACAAAGGGACCTTGAAGGTTTTCTAATCCAGCCCCTTAAGCCTTGTGGACTTCAACTCCCAGAATTCCCCAGGGAGTCTTAAAGTTCCCAAGGTTGAACCCCCTTATCCTACTCCATTCCAAACAAAAGACTATCCAATCTCTTCTTGAAAACCTCCAGTGATGGAACACCCACAACTTCTGGTGGCAAGCTGTTCCGCTGGTTAATTGTTCTCATTATTCCATATCCTGTACTTCTGGAGGGGCCCGTTTTCTTCTCCTTGCCCCATTCGGGTTTTGGAAGGGGAGCGTGCCCAGCTCCTCCCCTCGGTTGGCCTACATGGGCCGAGTTTCACATCACTGCATCCGCAGGGTCACGTGACCAAAATTTGGATGCTTGGCAACTGGTTCGTATTTATGGCGGTCGTGGTGTCCCGGGGTCATGCAATCCTCTTTTGCGACCTTCTGACGAGCAAAGTCCATGGCGAAGCCAGATTCACTTAACAGCCAGGTTACTAACTCATCGGCTGCAACCGTGACAGGAAAGGTCGTAAAATGGGGCCAAACTCACTTAACAAATGTTTCACTTAGCAACATAAACCCTGGGCTCAGTCGTGGTCGTAAATCAAGGACTACCTGTATCCAGAGTGCAGTCAAATGCTCTTCCGACGCCTTCGCCAAGCCAGGCGGGCCCCTCCTGCGCTGGGCCTTTGCCTTCCCCGGGAGAGGAATCGAATCGCGCTTCCTTCGGCCTCTCTCCTCTGCCCTGGAGACCACAAAGAAAGAAACGGAGAACCCAGATATTTCCACCCGCCCTTTAACGCCTTCGGCCCACATCCATGGCTGCGGCCATCTTGTGCACTGCAGCTGGTCCTTGAGTTACAACAGCTCATTCAGTGACTGTTCAAAGTTACAACGGTACTGAAAAAAGTGACTTTTTTCAGACTTACAACGGTTGCAGCCTTCCCCTGGTCACGTAACTTGCATTCAGATGCTTGACAACTGACTCACATTTATGACCGTTGCGGTGTCCCGGGTCACATGGTCCCCTTTTGCGACCTTCTGATAAGCAAAGCCAATGGGGAAACCAGATTCACTTAACAACTGTGTTGCTCACTTAACGACTGCACTTAACAACTGTGGCAGGAAAGGTCGTGAAATGGGGCAAATTCACCTAACAAACATGTCGCTCAGCAACAGACATGCTGGGCTCAGCTGTGGTCGTAAGGTGAGGACTGCCTGTATTCCCAGGGAGCGGGCGGTCAGCGGTCAGCGGGCTCTGGGAAGAGCCGACAGGAAATCTGGGAAAACTGACAGATGGGTCTGTGTGTGTGCTATATGTGTGTCCTTGCTGCCTTCTTACGGCTGAGTTCAGAGCCTTGTTGGTTATGAACGGAAGCCCCTGGGCCAAAGGGAATGTTTCCTGGCTGGGGATTGTGGGACTTGTAATCCTAACTCTGGAGGGCAGCTGGCTGGAGGGTCTGGGTGAGGAAAAGGGCCGCTTTGGTGCTGCTCTGCCAAGAGGATGGGGAGCCCGGGAAGAGACGCTCCTCCTGGCCGGCCCAGGGAGGGTTTCCGCTCTTCAGCAGATAAGATTTGCTTTCGGGTGGGAATCTCGCACCTTACCCTCCCCCCAACAAGTAGCTGTGTTATGGGCACGTCCCCCGCCCAGCCCAGGGCCAGAAGCCACAAAAGGAGGTTTGTTCTAACTGGAAACAAGTAACAAGGTCATCGTCACACCCGGCTCCTTCCGGGCGTCTCTGCCCGGCATTCTTCACTGCTGCAGGGAGGGCAGCCTGGAGGGGTTCTCCTCCAAGCATTTCCACCAAGGGAAACGAGGCCCCTAAGAGGTCATCTGGTGGGGCAGGTTGAGTCATGGGGCAGGCTGTTGCGAATCCTGCAGAAAGGAAAAGAGACAAGAGCTCTTTTGATCAGGTTCCCCGCTCAAACGCTCCCCCAGAATCCTGCAGGCCACCCTCGTCTTAGTGGTCTGTAAAGCCCAACTGGGAGGGTACACACACAACATCCCCCCCCCCCCACATACACATACACACACACTGTGCCATGGAGAAGGCCCTGTTCAGCCTTTGGCCTTTCTGTTCTCAGCCGTGGAAAAGATGAAGGCGAAGGTGAACAGGCTGCCTGGCCCTGCCCATCCTGGCCCCGTGCAGTCAGGCCCCCGGTGCCCACCCTTGGCTGACACATGCAGAAAGCTGTGCCCAGAACAGGGAGGGCAATCAGCGCCCAGAAGGCACCGGCTGATTGCCCGGCACAGGGCACTGCGTAGCAAAGGCTTTGGGGGTTGTCAGACTCGGAGACTGGGTTCACACTACCCCCAAACTGGATCAGTTGAAGAATCAACTGTGGTTAGTCTTCCCCTTGGATAGTTTTCTTAGAGGGTTGTGTGAATCTACTCCATTTTAGAAACATGGGATCCTAGGGTTGGGACCTCGGAGGTCTTCTAGTCCAGCCCCCTGTTCAGGACAGGAGCTTTTTACCATCTAGGTCAAAAGGTGGTCCATTTTTGAAAACCTCAGGTGATGCAGCACCCACACCACCAGGAGGCAAGCTATTCTATTGATTAATTGGTTAATTAATAAATGAATTTGGTTAGTTCATGGTTCAGCATGTTGTACAAACCCAGGAAGTGGGTTAGTTCAGTGAGTCGTGTGAACGACCCCCCTGTTCAGGAGATGGCCCAAATCCTCTGGAGCCCCAGCTGCTTCTCTGTCTCTTCCCAGCATAACTTCCTTGCTCGCTTTTCATTCTGGCTGCATTCACACATTAAGGTAGCTGGTACCGGACTGGAGACTCAGCACAGTTCCTTCACCCGCAAGCCAAAGCAAGGAGAGCAAGACCCACGATCTGAGTGTGCGCACTTCCTTGAGCAATTTGGTCTTGCACGATGCAAGAACTACCGCTTACGCACCAAAACCTGAGTTAGAAAACATGGCTTGAGGCAACATGGTAGCCGGGTCTCTTTGGGCCACCCAACTGTGCAGTCACAGAGGATCCAGGGAGCCACTCCTGGGACCAAGAGGGATCTCCTGGGGAGGAAAGTTCCCTGAGCTACTGGCCACAAGCATCGAAGGATAGTGGGGGGGGGTGAGCTTTGGGTGGTAAGCGTGGGGCACAGGTTGGCAAAGGCTTGCCCGGAGAAATGGGGCTGCCAGCAGGCAGGGCTCGTGCCCCCCTTTATGTGAGCACCCCAGTAACCCTTCCTTTGCCCCCTAGCACCAGCGCTGCCCAGTGGTGACTCTCGAGCCGGCCCCCCTGCCGGTGACGCCACCACTGTCCCCCCAGCCCTCTACCCTGGCCAGCAGCCGGTCCGAAAAGGGCTCGTCATGGTCCAGCCGCTCACTGGGTGCCCGGTGCCGCAACTCCATCGCCTCCTGCCCCGACGAGCAGCCCCACATCGGCAACTACCGGCTGCTGAAGACCATCGGCAAGGGCAACTTCGCTAAGGTCAAGCTGGCCCGGCACATCCTGACGGGCAGGGAGGTGAGTCGGCAGAGGCTGGGTGACCTTTCGGGTGTGGAGACCTGGGGGGGGGGTGTAAGAGATTGTTGGGGAAGTGGGAGAGTTCCCCCCCCCCATTACAGCTGAAACTGGCCAGGGGAGACGCAGAGCTGGCAAGCAAAGGGGAAGGTCGCTGGGCCAGAGCACAGGCGGTGAACGAGGGAAGGGTTCCCCACAGACCCAGAGAAGCGCCCGGCCCCAGGGATAGCCAGGCCAGTGTGTGGGGTGCTGTGGGTTTCCCTCTTGAATTGGCCGAGGCAGGGGCAGAGGAGGCCTGTGACCCCCTCCCCGCTCCATGGAGCCACTGAGGCCTCAGCCCAGTCATTGTGAGGCCCCACCCTGGGAGCCCCACTGATTTTCTGCATTGTATTTTCCCAAGGTGGCTATCAAAATAATTGACAAGACGCAGCTCAATCCAACAAGTCTCCAGAAGGTGAGCAAATGTTGGGGGGATGAAGGGGGGCTTCTGAGCTCAGCTGCTCACTGTATCCCCTTCCAGGGGATCTGGGGGGGACATGGAGGGAGGGGTGCCATGGCCTCATCTGCCCAGAAAGGGCAGCCCCACAAAGAGATGCAGCCCCCTCCCCTCTGCAGGCCTAACCAGCCCCTTCCCCGCCTGGCAGGCAGGGTGCCACCCTCGGAGGGAGCAATGCAGGTTGAGGTTTCCCCCCCCCCTTCCCTCTTGGCTCCCTGCCTTTCCTGCCAGCAGTGGGGGGGAGGGGAGACACTGCTCCCCATTGCCCCCCTCCGTAATTATGGCTCAGAGTCTAAGCTGGTCGCTGTGGAAACCCGGCTTCTGCCAGCATCCCAGGGGGAGGGGGAGGGACGGACCTGCTAATTAGTGGCTGGATTCTCCAGGACAAATGAGCTTCAGGGAAGAGGGGCAAACTCAGTCGCCATTGGTTCAGCCGCTGACCCTTTGGGTGCCCCAGCTTTCCTTTGTGGTGAGGGGCCAGACTCCCCATCAGTGGCCAAGGATGGTCAGTGAGAGCCCTGAAGGGAATGTGGGGTCTATGTTGTGACTGACAGGGTGGGGGTGGGGCGGAAAGCGCCCTTCAGATGCACAGAAACACACACACCCCTCGAATTTTCCAAAAGTGTCTTCACTGGGAGTGAATGAAATTGAGAGAAGGAACTGGGAGAAGGGCAAGCAGACAGCCAGACATGCTCTGCAGCATTGTTATTCATTATAATTTAATTATACAAAAACTGCTTTGGGAGATCCTCTTGAAAGGGGTTATTATTAATCATGGTTAATCAATTAAAGGCCATCCAACCCCCAGCACAGCCTGGCAAGACAACCACAGCCAATTCAGACCTGACAACCCGGTAATCCGTTATCTGCAGGTCAAAGCTAGGGGCCCTTCCCAGAGCTGGGTGCTGTAGACACTCAGAGCAAAGCGCTCCAGCAAGTGAGCCAAACTGCAAAGAGAGGGAGACATAAATGTAAGCACAGAGGAAAGGCTGCCTGGGACCAGTGAAGCCTGACCCGGCACTTTTGACGGCTCATGGCAAGTCCCCAGACTGTTTTTTAATGTGTTATTATCATTTTATTGCTAACGCACATGAAAAAGAAAAAGAAAAAAAAGATCTAAAGAGAAGCCTCTAAAACGCATCGCAATGCCTGCATCCAGTGCGATGGCTTTAAAAAATATCTTGGCCACCTGGAGTGATATTGATCCGTTCTTCCTCTGCAGCTGTAAAGGGGCCTTTCAAAGGCTGGAATGAACATTTTGGGAGCCCAAGACTTTACTCAGGGCCCTCCCAGCCCTACATTGTTGCCCTTTTCTGCATTCCAAGCCTGATGAGGCTCCCTGGAGTTTGTCAAATTCAAAACTTTTGGTACCTGACCAGACCTCGCCTTCCTCCTCCCAGCCTCAGGTCTCCTTCCAGGACCTGATCGCAGAGGCAGGCAGGCCAGGACTTACAACCATCCCTTTAGCGACTGTTGGAAATGACAGCAATAGCAGCTACAGCAAAAAGTGAAAATAATACAATAAAGATTTATGCGCAGGGGAGGATAAATGAAGGAAAAGACCCATTTTCCTTTTGCCAGCAAAACTGGACGAGCCTTCCCTTTTTACAGAAACATCCATGTTTGGGGGAATTTAAAACCGGTCTGCATTTTGGAGGGAGGGGATTGTTGGAGAGAAAAATGTTATGCTGTAGTTTTGGGGGAGGGGTCAGCTAACTCCTGTTTGGGACGTTTTTGCAGCTCTTCAGAGAAGTCAGGATCATGAAAGGACTAAATCACCCCAATATTGGTAAGAAACAGAAGTCTAGGACACCCTGTGGACATGTCACCCCCCCCCCAAGGAAGTCGTGCTCTTCAGCAGCTGAGGGGGCAGGGGAGGCTGGGGCAAAATGGGGGTTCATCTTTCAGTTCAGCAGGCAGCTTGTGGGAGAGAGGAACGGGGGCTCAGAGGGCATCAGGTTGCAAAAGCTTGCTAGATGTGGGGGTCAGAAAAAGGACCCTCCCAAGAAATGAGCAGAATCTGGGACAGAGGCAAAGTTTTGGGGAGCAGGGAGTGCTGTGGGATGCCCCCCACAAGGCTTCGCACTCCCCCAGGAAGGAACGCTGCAGAATCGCCTGGTGGGGTCTCCGTGCCCGTTTGTCCTCTTGCCGCACAGAATTTTAGCTCCCCCAATTTCGCCCAGTGCGGCGTCCCTCACTAGCGCTTGCCCCAGCGGGGGACCTTGGAGGCGGCAACAGCATTTAAGAATCCAAATAACACAAAATATTCCACCCTTAAAAAGAGACCTGCGAGGTTTGTGGGGGTGACCGGGGGAGGGGGGCAGTTGCAGCGTCAGTGAAGAAGCCCCCCCCCCCATAGAGAAGAAGCTCCTTGCTGGGGAGGCTGACTTTGCTTCTGGCTCTTTGCTCAGTGAAACTCTTTGAGGTGATCGAGACGGAGAAGACGCTCTACCTGGTCATGGAGTATGCCAGCGCCGGTAAGCCTCGCCTGCCCTTCCCTGGCACTAATGGCCCCGGGTCCAAATGTCCATGGCCCCTACCATCACACACACCCCCTTCGCTTTTTTCTGGCCCTGGCATCCAGGCTGGCCTCACTTGCCCGTCTTTTCTCTCTTCATTCAGGAGAGGTTTTCGATTACCTGGTGTCCCACGGCCGCATGAAGGAGAAAGAAGCCCGGGCTAAGTTCAGACAGGTTGGGCCTCGTGGTGCTACCGAGAATGCCCGCTCCTTGGGCTTTGGACAGGGGTGGGCAAGCAAGAGGGGGGCATTTCTGGCTGCCTGGCAGAGTTCGCTTGGGTCCCTTCACCTGGCTGGGCAAATGGGCCCCTCTGGCATGGGGGGCGGTTTAAGAGAGAGCCCCTCCTCCACTGGACACTCGCCTGGCCCAGGAGTCCAGTCTCCAGGGCAGAAGCTCCAGCTCAGCTGCTTTGCCTGGAAGGGGGCTGTGGAGGTGCTGGAGGGGGGAATGAGGGGGAGGCTTGCACCCTAGCCAGGACCCTCCTTGTCACCCCTAGATCGTCTCGGCTGTGCACTACTGTCACCAGAAGAATATCGTACACAGAGACCTGAAGGTGGGGAGTTTCAGCACTGCTGCCATCTCTCCCTCCCCCTGCCCAATTCCTGTCCTGAGGGGGGGGCAATGGTTCAGCCATCCTGGGGCAGCCCCCAAAGCTTACACCGAGGGGCTGGATTTTGTGAGGTGACCCTGGAGAAACCTTCCCCCTGAGCCTCAGTGCTTCCACCTGTAAAATGGGAAGACTTGCTGCCTGCTCTCAGAGTTGGTTGATTCACTGGAAGAGCTGGAAGAACCACGGAAGCTGCAAGTTGGGCCGCTTCTCCGTCCAGCATTTTGCTGGCCATTAGACTTCGGATGCAGTTTATTGGGCCCGGGGGCTGCAGCAAAACTTTACCCCCCTCCTTCCTCTCCCTCAGGCAGAAAACCTGCTGCTGGATGCGGATGCCAACATTAAAATAGCCGACTTCGGCTTCAGCAACGAATTCACGCTCGGCTCCAAGCTGGACACCTTCTGCGGGAGCCCCCCCTATGCTGCCCCGGAGCTCTTCCAGGGCAAGAAGTACGACGGGCCGGAGGTGGACATCTGGAGCCTGGGAGTCATTCTGTACACCCTGGTCAGCGGCTCCCTTCCTTTTGACGGGCAGAACCTCAAGGTGAGGCCGTGGGGCAGAAGCTTTGGGGAGCAGAGGGCAGCGCAGGTCGGGGCATCGCAGTTGCAAGGAGGGGATCCCGAGGTCAGCCTCTGCTGCAGTCCTCTTTGCAAAGGGGGGGCTGGCTGGGATGCTCGTGGGGGCCTGTGCCAGATGGGCTCATGGCTCTGGATCCACTCGGGACGGGCCGAACCTCAGCCTGGGGGAAAGGAAAGGGCAGCTGGGCATTCAGCACCTGGGCTTACGGCCTTCCCTTTCTGTGCTCAGGGCCCTTTGCTGTTTATTTCTTTCTTTATTTTATTAATTGATATGACGGATCTCCCGCCTTGCTGCGCAAAGCAACTTTTCTTCTCACTCTGCTCGGTTCCCGATGCCTGAAGCTGCAAAGGCTGCTTCCCACCAGGGGAACGAGTGGGTGACATATCCCCGGCACATAGCCACTGGCCTTGGCATGAGCCCCTTGGCACCCTTGGCCAGGCAGTGCTGCCCCCCCCCAGCAGACTGGCTGCCCGGAGGGATTGAGGGGGAGAGCCAGGCTGTGTCTGACCAACAGGCCTCTCCACCCCCCCCCCACCAGGAGCTGCGGGAGCGCGTGCTGCGTGGCAAGTACCGCGTCCCCTTCTACATGTCCACGGACTGTGAAAACATCCTGAGGCGTTTCCTGGTGCTGAATCCTGCCAAGCGCTGCACCCTGGAGGTGAGGGGGTCCGGCGTGGCCCAGCTCCGCTGCAAGCACCGCGTGGCAGTTTGCCAGGCCAGGGCGGCTCCAGATGCTCTTTCCTCCCTTGTGGTCCCTCTGGGGCTGAAGGAGCGCAGCTGGCACTGCCCGTCCCCCATGCCAGTTTCCCGGACACCCACCAGAAGCCGGGCCTTTAATTAGCAACCGTCTCCACAGGATCTGGCCCTCCCCACTGCTGAGCCTTCCTCCCCTGACTCCCTCCCCACCAATGACTGTAATTAGCCTAATTGACTCAAGGATAATTGCATGGTGTGTCAGGGAGGCACTGAGCAGCCCACACCCTCCCCGCCTGGCACAGCTCAGTGCGTTACAGCAGGGGTGGGGGTTGAGCCTCTGCAGGCACCCTGTAGATTATTGGGGGGCTGTTTGTGCCTCCCCTGAAATGGAGACCCATGTTGGAAAGAGATGGGGGGGATAGTCCCTTGGCCCAGGGTGAAGAATTTAAGGTGCCTCTGAGCATGTGCTGAGGACTGCATGGACTGCTCACCCGGGTGTCCAGATACCTCAGGTGGGGTTTATGAGGTTGCCAGGTGGGCACCGAGGGGGCTGCATTGGCAGGATTGGGAGGGGCCCCAGCAGGTCGATCCCCCATTAACACTTCTTCCCTCCCCCAGCAAATAATGAAGGACAAGTGGATTAATATCGGCTACGAGGGGGAGGAGCTGAAGCCCTACCGAGAACCCGAGGAGGATTTTGCGGATGCCAAGCGCATAGGTAGGGCGCCCCCCCCGCTTGGGGTTGAGTGGCCCTGGACCCCCCCCCCCCGCGGCTGCGGCTGATCCTGCTGCCTGAGCTCCCCACCTGGACAGGTGCCCCAGACTGAAGGGCCTGCTACCAAGGCCCTGCTGCTCTCCTGGGCACCAAGGCAGCCGGCCAGCATCGCCTGCCCCTGTTGGCTGTGGGGTCTTCTAGCCCCTCCTGGGCTGGGTTAACCCGCTGCCTCCGCTCCTCCCTATCCAGAGGTCATGGTGGGCATGGGCTACACCCGGGAAGAGATCAAGGAAGCCTTGGCCAACCAAAAGTACAACGAGGTCACAGCCACCTACCTGCTGCTGGGCAGGAAGAACGAGGTATGGATGCTGCCAAAGCCCCCCTTTCCCCCCCCCAGGCTGCCTCTTCGAGCAGGAGGGGCCTCCCTGATGCAAAGCCGCAGTGGGGCGGCACACGTGCTTCAGACGTGCTCAGTTGGCCAGGACTTGCCTTCGGCTACAGGGGGCAGGATTTGGATCCAGCCGAGGACCACGGGGCTGTGGGACCCATCCTGGGTGTGGGGGGTGGGTCCCTGGCTTCTGAGAAGCCGGACTCCAGCTGCCTAAGGAAGGAACCATCTCTGCCCCCCCACCCCCCCCCCTCACCCCCGAGAGTGGTGCAGCTGCCCCCAAACTGCAGGCCCGCACGTGCCTGGGGGAGCCGTGTGTGCCGCCGCTTTGAGGGTCCTGGCCTTCTGCTCTGTCCAGCAGGTGGAAGGGGGGGAGTCCCGCACCGGCAGCAGCCTCTCGCTGGCCCGAGCGCGGCCGCCCAGCGAGGTCTCCAACGGCACCAGCAAGTCCTCCTCGCACGCCAAGGGCCAGCGGGCCTCCTCCACATACCACCGGCAGCGACGGCACAGCGATTTCTGTAAGTGGCCGGTGCCCCTGCCGACTCTGGGGCACCGAGGACCCCTCTTGGGAGGGTCTGGTGACCCCCCCCCAGCCCCTGCCCGGAGGGCCTCAGGCGGTTCCTGTTCATAGCATCCTGGCTTGCAGACCCCTAGCCCTTCTCTTAGCTTTGTCTGAACCAGAATGCCCCCCACATCATAATATGGGAACACAGCAGTTGTGTGAAGCTGAGGCTGGAGGGAGCTTGGGGTCCTCTTGCAGGCAGGGGTTGGCTTGATAGCCTCGAGGAGTCCTCTGATCCCTCTAAACTCCAGCAGCTGTGGAGCTCTCTCCTTCCAGAGGTTTGAGGGGCATCCAAGACGGCCAGCAGGTTGAGAAGGGGAACGTAACACGGGTAGTCCTCGACTTACAACTGAGCCCAAAATTTCTGTTGCCAAACAAGACAGTTATTAAGTGAGTTTTGCTGCCTTTTATGACCTTGTTGTTAAGTGAATCACTGCAGTTGATAAGTTAATCACCTGGTTGTTAAATGAATTTGGCTTCTCCATTGTCTTTGCGTGTCAGGAGGTCACCAAAGGGGACCACGTGACCCCGGGACCCTGCAACCGTCATAAATATGAGCCAGTGGCCAAGAATCTGAATTTTGATCAAGGGACCATGAATGGATGCTGCAATGGTCATAAGTGTGAAAAACAGTCATAAGTCACTTTTTCCACTGTGTTGTAACTTCAAATGATCACTAAACAAACTGTTGTAAGTTGAGAACTACCTGCTTGAAAAACACAGGTGTTTATTCTGTTTTCATCTGAGAGGAAATTGAAAAGAAATTAAACCCACCATAGTTTCCGTCCTGGGCCCCTTGGTCCCCCTCCTCAAGGTCACTGGCCGTCCCCCCTGAGAATGCCCCCTTTCCCTCCCCCCAGGCGGCCCCTCGCCCGTGCCCCTGCACCCCCAGCGCAGCCCGACCAGTGCCGGGGATGGGGAGCTGAAGGAGGAGCGGATGCCCTCGCGCAAGGCCAGCGGCAGCGTGGTGAGCAGCGGCCGGGGGGGCCTCCCGCCCTCCAGCCCCATGGTCAGCAGCGCCAACAACCCCAACAAATCGGAGATCCCCGACCGGCGCAAGGACAGCGCAGTCAACACGGTAAGGAGGGGGGGCTGGCGGTCTCAGCCTCCTCCCTCAGCACGGACCCTCTTTCGGGGGGCAGGCGGGGGGCCAGGGTCATTCCCCCAGGGTCCGGGGAGAAAGGCATTCCTTCCCTGCCAGGACCAAGGGGCTTTCCTTGGACGCCGGGGGTTGCAGGATGGGACCGGAGAGGGTGCCGGCTGGTTTCCGAGCACCGCCCGGGTCCTCCTGGGCCCGGCATTCATGGAGCCAGGCAAAAACTGGATCCCAGCCGGGTCTCCCCAAATCCAGAACCTACTTTTCTGGTCACGCTTCTTGTGTCCAAGCCGAAGCAGATCCTGCCCAAAGAGGTGCTTGGATTAGGTGACCTCTGGGGCCTCTTCCGTGTCTGGGAAGAGTTGGAAGGGACCCTTGAGATCTGCTAGTCCAACCCCCTGCTCTGGCAGGAAACCCTATACCATTTCAGACAAGTGTCTGTCCAGACTCTTCTTAAAGACTTCCAGTGTTGGAGCACCCACAACCTCTGGAAGGAAGTCGTTTCACTGATTTAATTGTCAGGAAACCTGGAACTAAGGAGGAATTTCCTGACAGAATAAGTAATCAACGGAACAGAAGTTGCCTCCAGAAGTTGTGGGTGCTCCATCACTGGAGGTTTTTAAGAAGAAATTGGATAGCCATTTATCCAGAATGGGGGTCTCCTATTTAGGCAGTGGGCTGGACTAGAAGACCTCCAAGGTCTCTGTTAATTCTGTTAATGTCTAAGTTGCCGAATACGATGCTGAGAATCTGATGCAGCTGACCCCATTCCATGCCCCTGATTTCGGGGGCCCCGGAGCCCCTCTGGCCTACCTGGCCCCCAGCACCCAGGCTCTGAACCGGCCGTCTTCCTGTTTCAGAATAACATCCCGTCCAGTATGATGACCCGGCGGAATACCTACGTCTGCACAGAGAGACCTGGGGGCGACCGCCACTCCCTGCTCCAGAATGGGAAGGAGAACAGGTGGACTTGGGTGGGGCGGGGCGTGTGCGGTAGCCTTGTGGTGGGTCTGGGGCAGGGTGTTTCCACCGTGGCCATTTGCAGTTGAGTGCACGTCAACTCCCAGAATTCCCTGGCCAGCCATGTTGGCTGGGGAATTCTGGGAGTCGAAGTCCACCCACCTTCAAGTGACTGAGAAACGCTGCATCTGAAGATGTATTCTCATTTCCGGAGGGAAAAACAGAAGCTGTTGCATCCCAACAGGACCAAGAAAGCCATGTCCATCTTGGTAGCAGCCCCCTCCCAGAAGCCCCCTTTCCTTCTCCCCAGAGAGGAGTGCAGGAGGGGCACAGGATGCCTGCGAGCGCCTGCCCCACGGCTCCTGAGTCGCCCTGGGCATCCCACCGAGGAGCAGGGCCTTGAGTCATCTCGTGCCCAGAGTCCAGACTCAGGGTCAGCATCCCAAGGAGGACGGGGTCACTCTGGCCTGGAGGGGCTGCAGGAGGCCAGCTGTGGCTCAGGGCTCAAAGGCCAAAACTTTGGGATGTCTCAAATCTTTTGCCCCAAAGTTCTTCTGGGCCCCCCATCCGCCCTCGTTGGTGGCGAAGAATCTTGCCACGCCCTGAGTGGCCCTCTGCTTCCTCCCCCCGCAGCTCGGGCACCAGTCGGGTGCCCCCGGCCTCCCCCTCCAGCCACAGCATTGCCACCTCCTCCTCCTCCTCCGACCGCAGCCGGCTCTCTCGCGGCACCAACATCCGCAGCACCTTCCATGGGGGACAAGTGCGGGACCGGCGTGGCACCGGTGTGCAGAATGGGCCGCCCCCCTCGCCAACCCTCTCCCACGAAGCCCCCACCCTGCCTCAGAGCCGCAGCCGGGCCACCTCCAACCTCTTCAGCAAACTGACCTCGAAGCTCACGCGGAGGTAAGTGGCCGGGGGGGGGGAAGCTGGGGGGGCTGCAGCATTGGCTCCTCCACCCCCCAGTTAGTTTGTGGACTGCAGGCAGCTCCTCGGCCCCTTTCCTGGCCCCTCTGCAGATAACATACAGGCAGTCCTCGACTTACGACCACAGCTGAGCCCACAATGGCCGTTGCTATGCAAGACAGTTGTTAAGTGAGCTTTGCCCCGTTTTACAACTTTTCTTGCCACCGTTGTTAAGTGAATCACTGCAGTTGTTAAATTAGGAACACGGTTGTTAAGTGAACCTGCCTTTCCCATTGATTTTGCTCGTCAGAAGGTGACGAAAGGGGATCCCCTGACCCCCAGGGGACCCTGCGACCGTCATAAACACAAGTTAGTTGCTAAGTGACTGAGTTTGATCACATGACCACAGGGATGATGCAACAGTCAGTCATAAGTGTGGAAAAAAGCCGTAAGCCACTTTTTTCTGTACTGTTGAACTGTCACTAAACAAACGGCTGTAAGTCAAGGACTCTCTGTACTTCGAAAGAGGGAGAGAGTGAAGGGGGGAAGGTTGGGGGATGTTTAGCTCCTCCGTTCTACTCCAGAGCGAGCCAGGCCTTCAAGACCCTCCACGGCCCCTCCCCCAGTACTGCCCCACTGGGTCAGGCCCCCCCCTGGGGGTCTCGGAGGCTGCCAGGAGCAGCTGCGCCCGGCCCAGCAGGAGTTTGGTGCCCGCTTGCCTTGAGGCTCTCCCATCTGAAGGAAGCTGCCTCTGCCCCACGGAGGCCCCCCTGCGCAACCCCTCCTCAGCCCCCCCACCCCGGCCTTGGGGACCCCCTGTGAAGCCTTCCCCAGGTCCTTCCCAGCCTGCTTGGCCCTGGTCTGCCACCCAGGGAAAACCAAGGGGTCTCTTCCCCTCCCCACCAAGTCCTTGCATAGCTGCAGCCGCTGTGCTGGCGAAATAGGAAGGAAACTGCCTGTTTTAAAGGTGGGCAGTTATAAACCTGGCAGAGGCCCTGGGAGTCGGGGGCGGGGGGGCTTGTAGATTTCCTAAATGACGGGGGCGAGGGGGATGATCTCTGACAGAAAGCTGGGTTGCCTTTGAACACCCCCCCCCCGGAGGGCGAGCAAAGGAGCATGACTTCTGGGTGGGGCACGCATGGCTTCTCAAGCCCCCCCGCCCAGAGGCCTGGGCACAGCTGCTTCCTCCCCAGCACTGCTTAGCTGAAGGCGGCTGTGTCCCCCGGAGACCCTCTTGGGAGAGGAGAGGGAGGCTCTGGGCCACCCCCTGCCCAGTCCCAGCTGCTGGGACTGGGCAGTCCAAGGCAGGAAAGTTAGAACCGGAAGCCCCTTCCCCCAACCAGGGGGGCGTGGAAGTGAAGGGCCAAAGTCAGAGGCAGCCCTACACTGAAGGATTCCATGGGCCCCACAAGTCCCTTGGCAGGGCTGTGGGGCAGAAAAGGTGATGGGCGGGGCCTTGCAGGAGCTGGGGGTCTTTGTGGACTGAGGAAGGAGCCAGATCCCCGAGGGGGGTGAGGGTGTCAAAGGCGGCAGAAGGAAGGGCGGGCAGCTGCCTGGCTGACGGAGGACACGGAGGTACAACAGGGCAGGGCAGGATTCACACTCTGCTTTTGGGGGGGCTCAGCCGGAGCAGCCTCTGGGGGGCCTCTGTGAGGCAGTCCGAGGTGAAAGGGAGCCCGACCCCGAAAACCAGCTGGAAGGAGCTTCTTCCCTGCACATCCTGGGCTCTGCTTCCTCCCCCCCCCAAGCGTTTGCAGCCTCAGAGGCAGGACCAAACCCCCCCCCACTAACCTCTCTTGCTGGCTCCCCACGCCCCTTTCACTCTGGCTTCTCTCTGTTTTCAGGGTCACTCTTGACCCCTCTAAGCGGCAGAATTCTAACAGGTGCATCTCGGGTGCTTCAGTGCCTCAAGGATCTAAAATCAGTAAGTGGCTGCTGCCCCCCCCCGCCCCCTCCTCCCTCTCTGCTGCTGCGGCTGCCTTTCTCGCTGCCTTCTTCCCCCACCCTCCCCCTTGCTTGGCTAGAGCCCTTATTGACCCCCCCACACAGGGATGCCTTTTGGCTGCGCCTGGCTGCTCCAGAGCGCCTCCCTCCCCCCCCCCGCTGGCTTTCCCCAATTCCAGAGGTGCAAAAGGGGATTTCCAGGACTCTTTCTTCTGCTGCAGGTGGGAGCCAGGCCCAAGGTGCCCCCTGCCCCCCAGAGGCTCTCAGCAAGGCCGCCTAAGAGCCCGCCCAGCCCAGGGCCCGCCTGTGGGCGCCCCAAAGCCCCTCGCACAGGTGGAGGCAGAGCAGCAGGCCAGCTCCTGCATGGGAGCCCTGGAAAAGCCCAGCCTGCTCCCTGTCCTCAGCCAGGCGGTCAGCTTGGGCCTCGGCTGCTCGGCCCTGGCTGCAAGGCACCCAGGCAAAGCAGCCGCCCGAGCCCCTGCCCCTAGAAACAAGGAGGAGCCCCCCCCCTTTCTCTGGGCAGCAGACTCTGGGACTGTGTGGCTCCGGGAAGCCCCTCTTTGTAGTCCTGAATGGCAGGAGCCAGGCTGCCCGTGTGCCCCTGGCCGCCTCCCAGGGGTTCTGGACCTGGAGGCTGACGGTGGAGGGGGAGCTTCCCCGGATGAAGCCTGGTGGTGCACCCCACCCGCTTGAGGGAGGGGGGCAAAACCCATGGCCACTCCCCACATCCTCTTCATTGCTGCTCCTCTCTTTTGCCCTGCAGGGTCGCAGACGAACCTGAGAGAATCAGGGGACCTGCGCTCACAAGGTGAGTCGGGGGGGGGGCGCCCCCCCTGTCTGTGGGAAGGCTGGGTCGAAAGCTCTAAAGGCCAAAGGGGGCTGACGGAGAGCGGGGGGGGGGGTGGCACTTCAGCTCCTTGACTGCAGCAGGAAACCTTGGCAAGAGGAGCCAGTTGTATTGATTTTGTTCCCTCAGCTCAGTTGCAGAGTTCAGCTGGGGGGGGCATGAGAGGAGGATTGTGTGGTGTAAACGTGTGTGTCTGCAGCCCAGCTCAGTTTGGGGGGGGCGGAGGGGGCTGGCTTTACCTCTGCAAACTAGTCTGTGGTCTTCAGGGCTACCTAACCTGTTATCTGGATTCGTCCAATGTCTACAGTCCGCTGAAGTTTATTTTTATTTATTTATATTGTGGCTTTATTATTTTTATGAGTAACTCAAGGCAGCAGACGTACCTAACCCTCTTTCCTCCTCCTCCTCCATTCCCCACAATAACAACAACAACCCCTGCCTGAAGCCAAGATCGGAAAGCCAGACAAGGCTAAGCAGCCCCCCTGGGCATCTTGGCTGGGCCGGAGTTATGGTGCAGCTGGCCGATCTCTGCCCACAGCCAGGCCGGGGTCCCCCTCCTCGGGCCTTCGGGGCATCTGCCGCTTGCGCCCGCTTAGCAGGCTCCTGCTCCTCCTTGCCCGCAGTTGCAATTTACCTTGGCATCAAAAGGAAGCAGAACCCCGGCTGCTCCGATTTACCTGGAATGTGAAGCTGACCAGCACCCGCTCCGCCGAGGCCATCCTGGCTGCCCTCTGCCAGGCCACGGACTCTGCCAACTGCTGCCGCCGCCAGACGGAGCCCTTCGTCCTCTCCTGCACCCACGGGAAGAGCGCCAGCGAGCACTTCTGCTGTTTCGAGGTGGAGGTCTGCCGGCTGCAGCGGCTGGGGGGGCTGCACGGGGTGCTCTTCCGTCGCCAGGCCGGCACCTCCCTGGCCTTCCGCAGCCTGGTGGCCAAGATCACAGACCAGCTGCAACTCTAGGGCGGCCCGGCCTGCTCCGTGCATTGACTGACCCCCAGGCTGGGGAGCCATGCGGGGGAGGACGTGGCCCCGGGGCTCTCCCCGCTTTTCTCCAGGGCCCAGACAGTCCTTGGGTCAACCTCTGCTGCCAGGGGGATCCCCAGCTGCTGCCCCGGAAGGCGCCTGCCAGCCTGTCAGTGGTGCTAGGAGGGGGACGGGGAGGGCAAGAGGGAGGGGAGAGAAAGGGCAGGGAAGGGCGCTGGCCCCTCCTCTAGCCCCTAATTGGGTGGGGGAAAGGCTGGCCGGCCTTCCCTTTCCCAAGTCACATGGGGGAACTGCAGGCCGGACTCTGGTGAGCCCCGCTTCCTCTGTTGTACAAAGAGGACCCCTGCCCATCGTGCTGTGCCCACCAGCCATGACCTTTTCACGCGCCACTTCATTGCCATCCAAACTCCAGGAGCTCAAACGCTTTCATTTCCCCAAATGGAGAGGGGGCGGTTTTGGGCTTGCCCATAGAGGGTCCTGCCTCCCTTTCCTGGGCACCCACAAAAGCTGGCCCCTGGCCCCAGCTCTACTCTGGCTGGAGAACTGGCTCCCCCCCCCAGGAATTCAAACCCTCCCAGGACAAGGGGGGCCAAATGTGATCAGCAGTGGGGGGAGGCAGCGAGAGTAGAGCGCAGCTGACCTGGGGTAGGTGCTGAACTGAGAGAGGCCACCCGACTGGCAAAGGCGCTCTGGGTCTTTGCAGCGCCACGTCCAGCCTTGCCTTCCGTGGCAGTGACATTGGCACCCGACCGGGCGGGCAGCTGTGTGCTCAGGCAGTTTGGGCACCGGAGGCCCTCCTGCCCAAAGGCCTGCAGGCCAGAAGGCCCCGAGCAGTGGGCAGCCAGCAGGACCCTCACGTCTCCACGCAGGCCTTGTGACCGGACTACGAACCAAATCTGAAGCTTGAAAGAAAATGGAGCTGGCGCCGAAACCCCTCTCGGAGGGGGCTGGTCCTCCTGAGTGGCTTGAGGGGGCAGAATTCAGTCACCCCAACGGCTGCTGGCCATCTCGGGGGTGGGCACGAGTTGGCAGTGCCAGCTGCCCAAGCAGCTCTGCTCAGGTGCAGCCGGAGGGCCGTGCTGGGGGGCCTGTTGGCACCTCTCCACGCTGAGTGTTTGGGCCCCAGCAGTGTGAAGGAGCTGCAGAGGGGGATTGGCACAGCGGGTGGCAGAGCTTCCAGGCCTGGGCTCGGGTTGGAGCTGTTTGGCCAGGGGGAGCTGGTGGGGCTTGGCGGACGGGCCTGGAGAGGGAGAGTTGGCCACTCCGGTGGGGAAAGCTGCAGTCCCCCCCCCCACTTTCCCTCGTTTACTGGGTGCCCCTGCTGTGACTTCCCCCCTCCCCTCAAATCTGGCCTCTTGGGTATCCCCCAATCTGTACAGATCCCTGTATATAATAATACCTTAGCCCCGTATCACTGGGTAGAGATATTAAGCGCCACCTTTTCACCTCTGGACAATGTAAGTTATTCCGGCCCCCAATGACGGTCCATGCCCAACCCTCAATAAACGTAGAATCTCTCCTGGCTCCGTTTGGTCCCTACGGAGCTGAAGGGGGGGGGGCTGGTTGCTGACAAGGTTCCAGGTGAGAGTCCGGCCAGGGACAGCCTTTTGAGTGTGGGAGACACAGCTGCCAAAGCCTCTCAGTGGGCATCGGGGATCCTTCCAAGGGCAGCCCTGCTCACTCGGTCAGAGCAGCCCTCTGCTCTTGGGAGACCCCCGAACTGCTCATAAAGGTAGACTGTTGCTGTGACTGGATGCTCAATCATCCTGGCAGAGTTGCTCCAGGAGCGTGGGCTTGGATCTCTTCTAAGTAAGGCCACTTCCCCACCTAGGAGTCAGCGTTCCCCTCTGCCCACCCAGAGGCTGTGCCCGATCTTGATTTGGAGGTGAGGAAGGGTGGAGAGTTCGAAGGGTGCCAGCCCTGGAAAACGCAAGAGCCTTGGGTGACCCTGGAATACCTCAACAGCTGCTTTCCCCTAGGCAGCCTCGGGTTCAAGGGCTGAAAGGCAAGAGGGGAGACCGCGCTGCTCTGAACTGCCCCCTCTCTCGGCCATTTCACTCCCTCCCCGCCCCAATCATAGGAGAAGAAAGGCACGGGGGTCATCTTGGGGGGAGACAAGGCTGTGGGGCCGATCTTTATTAACTCCATCCGCCATGGCTCGAATGAGGAGAGCTTTCCAGCTGGCAAAGGGCAGTGGCCCCCCGGCCCCCCTCACAAGGGAGAGCGGAGCACCAGGAGCTGCCGCCACGAGTGGCAGGGTTGGGGTCACCACGGAGTCCAGGCCCCAGGCCGCCCAGGGTCAGCGGGAGGCCCCTCACTTCTGGGCAGGGATCATGTCGTCTATGGCCTGGCCTTTCTCCAGCTTCTTCTCCATTTCCACCATGAGCTTCACGCCATCCACCACCAGTTGCACCTGCTCCACCTCGGAGGAGCCCAGCCGGTCCGCGTTGGAGATGTCAAATACGGCGCCCACGGCCTCAGTGTCCACGCCACCTGGGGAGGAGGAGCACAGTGGCCACTCAGTTGGCTGACCCCCAGCAGAGGGCGCACCCTGGGGCTCCCCCAAGCATGCTGCCAGAAGGACCCAGTGGCAGAACACGGAGTGGATGCGCTTGGCCAGGCACCTGCCCAGGGACAGGATTCACACCAGCTGCCCAGCACAGGGGGAGGGGGCAAAGGCCAGCGGCTTTTATCCTTGACGGAGGGGGGGAATGCTGTCGAGGGGCTGCCTTTGGAGCTGACCGGAAGACCCTCTTGAAGACCAAAACAAAAGCGCTAGAAGGAAGGGGGGTTGCAGGGGCTCTTGGGAAGACGCAAATTCACCAGTGCTGCCTCCCCCCCCCAGTGAAACAGGGAGAGGGATTTCAATGTGTGCAGAGCCCCCATCCCCTTTGGTGGCTTCTTTCTTGCTTATTTGAAGCTCTGGATGGTGAGGGGGGAGGAGTGGCAAGCAGCATCTTTGCCCAATTCAAGCTGGCATCCCTGCTCTGGGCCCCCTCTCCCACCTCTGTTCCCCCCCCCCGCCGACCTGTGCCACGTTTCTGCAGACGGAGGCGCTTTAGGATCTCCTCAAACTTGGGGTGCTTGCTGAGATGGGCCAGCTTGACGTGGACACCGCCACGCAGGCCGGTGCCCAGGTTGGAGGGGCAGGTCAGGATGTAGCCCAGGTGCTCGTTCCAGCTGAAGGGGTGGCCGGCCTCCTTGAAGATCTCCTCAATCTTACCGGGAGGGGAAGCAGAGATTGGCAGGGGTTAGTGGCAAAGCAAGCAATGCCCACGTTGCTTTTTGTGCCTCACCCCCCTCCAAAAGGCCGTTTCTCCCTCTGAGGGTCTTTATGCCATTGGCACGGTAGAGAAGCCCGGTCATAGCACCTCCATCCCCACCACTTTGGGGTCACCACAGAACCACCAGGACTCTCTTCAGCTGCCCAGCCATTGTGGCCTGTCCAGGATCCCGGGGTGCCCTCTCTTGCCCTACTCTCACCCCTTGGAGCAAGCCAGGAGCCCCCATCCCAGCTGCCCAGCCTTACCTTCTGCAGCCCCACGCAGAAGCGCCGGAAGACTTCCTTCATGTTGCCCCCCTTCTGCATGGAGATGACTCGGAGGTGGTCCTCCTCGTTCACCCACACCAGGAAGGTCTTGTTCTCATTGTGCCTGGGGAGGGGAGAGCAGAAACTTCAGCATCCCCCACCTGCTGGCCTTCAGGCTCAATCGCCTGGGGGGCGGGCACAAAGGGGCATCGAGGCAGCCTCCCTGCCTCCTCGGCTACCCAACTTGCCAAGGCAGCCTTGCACAGCTCTTGTTCGGGGCAGGGGCAGATTGGGGGGGCAAATTCAGGAACTGGGTGTGCAAAGTGGGGGCAGCTGCAGCATCTTTGGGCCACGGGAGGGAAGGTGCTGCCCCTCCCAACATTTGGAGTGCCCTCCCCAGGTGGGGAGGGCGCCAAGTGGGCAGCCCGGGGCTCGCAGGCCTGCTCACCAGATGCCCCGGGCGTCGGGCCAGTCGCGGGCCATGCCGGAAGCCAGCAGCAGGGGGGAGATGGGCTTGTCGAAGAGGAAGTGGTCATCAATCAGCTGCTGCTGTTCTGCCTCAGTCATATTCTTGAGGGGGTAGTACTTGCCCTTGAACTCTCCGGTCAAGCTGTTTAGGGCTGGGGAGGGGGACACAGCAGGACCACCCTTAGCAAAGGCCACTGCGTCCTTCCCCTCCCTCTTTATCCTCCCAACAAGGCTGGGGGGGGGCTTCTCAAGAGCCCCACATCTAAGGATGCTGAAATCCGTATTTCCATCCATCCTCAAACCGGATGATCAGGTTATCCTTGGCACCTCCTCAGTTTCCACCCCAAACTTGGGACCTTCTGGGCCCTGACCGAGACCTCTGTTACTGGGACATGTTCCTGATAGGGACCCAAAAGAGGTACCCCAAACCTGCCCCTAAAGGACCAGTGGGGCTGGGCAAGCCCTGGGTAGGGCTAGTGCCATTTGGTGGACCAGTGGGGGACCCTCCTGGCCGCTGCATTCAGCCAGCCAAGGGGGGCTGGTTGGGGTTCACTTGGTCTGGTGGGGTGCAGTTGTGTGAACCCAGCCAAACAGGGCAACTCCGCTCCTCCAAAGTTTGTGTAGAGACCCCCAATTTTGAACAAGCGGCTCCCCCGCCATTCTTCCCCTCTTACCTTTGATGGACAGATTCTCCACAGCCCGGCGCTCGGCCCGGCTGCAGTGGGGAGGCAGGGTGTAGCCCTTGATGCTACGGCCGGTCCGCACGCGGCTGCTGAGCACGTAGTTGGGGTCCAGATCATCACCGCCCTGCAGGGAAGGAGAGCCGGGGGTCCTCTCTCTGCCCAGGCTGACCATCCCCCCCCCAGCCCCTTGAGACTTTGGAATCTGTCAGACCCCGTGCCTTCCCTGCCCTTGGGGGGCACCTGCCTGGGGCTATGCAGGGACACCCAGGGAGCCACACACATACACATCCTTTGATCTTTGCACACTTAAACGTCAAGCAACTCCCTGAAGTTCCTAACACCCCCCCCCCAGCAAAGCAAGCTCCCCCACTGCCCCCACCTTCAGGTTTTCATGGTTCAGGTCGGTCCTGTGCTTGTCGGTGGGCTTGTAGCCTCCGTGGCGGTCACTGATGACAATGTCTAAAAGATCTTTGAAGATGTCATAACACTCCTCATCACCAGCTACGCAGCCCACGGTCATGATGAAGGGGTGACCTGCAAGGACAGGAGGCTTCAGCAGGGGGGGGGGACCCAGGTCTCTCTCTGAAGGACGAGGGGTTGACAGACCTGGAGGTCCCCTCTTGCCCCTGTCTGGCACCCGTTCTCTTTCAGCTGCTTCCCACACATTTGGGACCAGGTTGTGCCAGGGGGAGGGGGCCGGGGATGGGGGGATTGCCCGCTAACCCTCAGCGGAATGTCTGGCAGGGGTCAATGGAAGCCCATCCAGGATTTCACCCCCAGAGGCTACCCAGCTCAAGGCAGGCAGGCATTGTGTCCCCTTGGATCCTGGTGACATTTATCAGGCTAAATGTCCCTCCTAAAAATTTTAACCCAGTTTAGCAGTGCTTTTTCCAGGCAGGTGACCAGTGGCCCCCAAAGCCTTTTCCTTCACCTCCCCATTTGCTGTACTCCAAAATGTTGTCAAGTTTTAAGGAGGAAATTAACAAAAAACCTCCCCAACCAACATGCTTAGACTGGTGGATGTCAGTTCCCAGAATTCCCCAGCCAGCAGAACGATTCAAATTTAATGTCTGGATATAACCAATTTTTTAAAGTCCGTGTGAATAATAAGACTGAAAGCATTTGGAATGGTTTTCTTTTTTTCACATGCGACCCCTTTAATTCTCTTCTCCCCCCATGTGCCAAGAAGTCTGCTATAGCGAGAAGGGCAGTCTACAAGTTGATAGATAGATAGCTAGATAGATAGATGGATGGATGGATGGATGGATGGATGGATGGATGGATGGATGGATGGATTGGATGGATTGGATGGGATGGATGGACGGAGGAAGGAAAAGAAAGAAAGAAAGAAAGAAAGAAAGAAAGAAAGAAAGGAAAGAAAGAAAGAAAGAAAGAAAGAAAGAAAGAAAGAAAGAAAGAAAGAAAGAAAGAAAGAAAGAGAAAGCAAGCAAGCTGGGCTCTGCTGTCAGCCTACGTACAGAGGCAGCCAGCTGCCACCTTGCACAGTGTGATGCCAGCCTCCTCCACCAGAGGGGGGAGTGAGCTATAGGAGAGGAGGGGACTCTGGCGGGCAAAGCTTGTGCTTTGCATGGAGGGCAAGGTCAGTGGTGACCCTTTCCGGGGCTGCTTCAAATCGAACTGTGACCTCCGACCACACTAGTGAGCTGAGAGAAACCGGGCAAGGGCAGCAGCAGGTTTAGATGGAGCAGGAAGCGGGCAGGGCCCACCTGGGTTGTCCACGCCAGTCTGGATGACGTCGTCCAGGGTGCAGCCGCTGGCCGTCTCCTTGTCCCGCAGCTTCTTGTATATCTCTGGGGTGAGCGCCTTGGCCATGTGGTTGTTGT